ACAGCCGTCTGCGCGCTCGAGCGCTCTCCCGGGCGGAGCGGCGCGGACCCGCAGGGCTCCCGCCGGGACCCGCCCGCCCACGTGTCGGGCTGTGCGCCGCCGCGGGGGGCTCGCCGGCTGACGGACACTCAGTTGGGGCCGCGTCCTCTGCCGCCTCAGGGAGTTTCCTGAGTCCCATCCCCAGGCCGGTGCGGGGCTCCGCGCCCCGATCCTGCCCTCCCTGGGGTGCAGGTCTCCGCGGGGGAGGGGAGCGGGGCGGGGCGGGGGACGCGGAGCGCGGCGGAGGCGGGGCGCGCTGACGTCGGTCCGGCCCGGGAGCCGCCAGTCGGCTGGGCTCGGGGCCGGGCTCGGAGGCGCGGGCGGTTGGCGTTGGCGGCGCGCGCCCGGAGGTTGGGGCAGGAGCGCGGGCGGCGCCGCAGCGGTTACCGGCGGCCGGGTCGGGCGGTGCCCCCGCGCCCCCCTGGCCCCCGAGGCGCGGGCGGAGCCAGCATGCGCACCTCGTACACCGTGACGCTGCTCGAGGAGCCCCCGGCCGCCCCCTTCCCCGCCCTCGCCAAGGAGCTGCGGCCGCGCTCCCCGCTGTCCCCGTCGCTGCTGCTCTCCACCTTCGTGGGGCTCCTGCTCAACAAAGCCAAGGTACGGGCTGCTCCCGGGACCCCGCGGGGCCGGTCCCGCCTCCTCCCCGGGCGCCCACCCCCGGGCCGAGTCCCCGCGCGACCTTGGCCAGGACGGCTTGTGCCCGCCCCCACCTCCTCCCGCGGCTCCGGGCAGGAATCCCCGCCCCAGGTGGCCCCCCGCCTCCTCGCAGCCCCCTCCCCTCCCGGAGGGCCGGGCCCGGACTCCCCGCGGCCACCCGGCGCCAGGTGACTCTCGCGCTCTCTGTTCCCGGCACCTGTCGACGCAGGTGCAGGAACGCGTAACCTTGACTGTTCTTGGCCTGCGAGGGCCCTGGTGGCCGGCTCGCTGGTCTCCCCGGAGGTGTTGACTCTGAGGCCAAAACCAGGCCAGAAAGGCTGGTCGGAAAGCCTCCCCCCCCCCCCCATCCCAAAGGGCTGGGAGCGGATCCTTTGACCCTGTGGAGGGCAGAGGAGTTGCAGGCCCGTGAAAAGGGCCACTTCCCTTCTCTTTCCAGTTGTGCTAAGTGGGCGCTGGGTCCCTCAATGAGACAGACGCCCTAGAGAAGCTGGGGTGCAGGTTGGGCACTGCCTGCCTTGGGGAGAAGGGCCAGAGCTTGACAGGCCTCACTAACAGGCCGGCTCCATGTTGGTGGTGCGCCCGCTGCCCCTGCCAGGGCCACTCTGGGCTCAGCCGGGACTCAGGCTGACCCCCGCAGAGCACCGGGAAGTAAGCAGGAAAGCCCTTCACTGGGGTCTGGAGGGTGAAGACAAACCTCAGGCTGCCTTTCTGACACGGTCCCTATGCCCAGCTCTTGCCCTACGTTCACCCGGTGGGCGCCTCCTGAGCCCCTACTCCTTCGCTGGAGGGCGAGTCGGGCCGTGTCCTGCCTTTCTGGAACAGTGGCTCTACTGAGTGAAACGAGGTTTGCGATGCTAACGGGAGGGAGTTCCTGATCCAGACTCCACGTGAGCCTCTGCGTGCGCCTGGCGTCCTCTCCGGGGGCAAGGCCCCTGGCAGTCTCCCAGCTCCTCCAGGTCCAGCTTCTCCCCCCAGCTGCCGGGCAAGGTTGTTTCCCGGGAAAAAGGTCACTCCCGGGACGTGTTTCTCTGTGGGGTGGAAGGTGCTGGCCTTCCCGGAGCCCGTGCCTGGTGGCAGAGGGACACCTGGCTGGGCACACAGCAGGGCCTGGCCGCAGCCTGGACCCGGGGTGCCCAGCTCAGGCCTCCCTCTGCCCAGCCCAGCGCCGTGTTCCCGCCTCCTACATAGAACGCTTAGAAATTGGCATGTGGTTTTGAACTCAGAAAATTTTATTTTTTCCAAAAAGAAAAATATATATATTTTTTTACTCATTTTAAGGAGAAAGGGAGAGGGAGAAAGAGATAGAAACCAGTGATGAGAGAATCATGGATCAGCTGCCTCCTGCACTCCCTCCACTGGGGATGGAGCCCGCAGCCCAGGCATGTGCCCTGACCAGAATCTACCGTGACCTTCTGGTTCACAGGAAAACACTCAACCACGGAGCCCCGCCAGCCGGGCTGAGCTCAAGAAGTTTTAGAAAAAGGCACAGCACCTCTGCCCATATCCCACCCCCACCCCCAAAAACACTGAGTCCTCGCAGTGCCTTAAAGGAGCTCCCCGTGCACAGGCATTAGCAGGACTAGTTCCCCAAGAATAGTCACTGAGTCCTCGCTGGTGTGGGTCAGTGGATAGAGCATCGGCCTGCAGACTGAGGGTCCTGGGTTTGATCCCGATCAAGGGCACATGCCCAGGTTGCCAGCTCGATCCCCAGTAGGGGTGCGCAGGAGGCAGCCAGTCAATGATTCTCTCATCATTGATGTTTCTCTCTCCCTCTCTCTCCCTTCCTTCTGAAATCAATAAAAATAATTTTTTAAAAAAAGGCCCTGGCTGGTTTGGCTCAGTGGATAGAGCATCAGCCTGTGGACTGAGGGGTCCCAGGTTCGATTCCGGTCAGGGGCATGTTCCCAGTGGGGGGTGTGCAGGAGGCAGCTGATCAATGTTTCTCTCTCATCGATGTTTCTAGCTCTCTATCCCTCTCCCTTCCTCTCTGTAGAAGGTCAATAAAATATATTTAAAAATAAATTAAAAATAAAAAAAAGAATAGTCACTGGGCGATGACAGGTTCTTCCTGACCCGACCCTCCCTCCGCAGCGGGAGTTAGAGTGTCCACACCTCAGATGCCTCCCCGCCGCCCCTGGTCTGAGTGACCACTTTCTCAGCAGAGGGCCCCCTGGTGGCCGTGGCCAGGGCCACCAGTGGTAGCGTGGCTTTGCTTCTGCAGCCTGTTTGGGCAGATGTTGTCTGAGGTGCAGCGGGTGAGAACTAGCAAAGCTCTGCCCACAGCAGGTGTGAGCGTGGCCGTCCACACGCCCGGGCCTCCAGGCTGAGCTCAGGATGCCCGCAGGCTGGTGCAGCGGTTTCGCGGGGCCCGGGGAGCTCTTGCCCAGGTCATCCTGCCAAGGCCTCTGTCCAGGGGCGCTTTCCGTTGTGGGCCTCTTCGGAACCTCGGGGTCCAGACAGTCAAAGATGCTGTGTCTGGGACCACAGACGCTCGTCCCAGCCAATGTCTTCAAGAATGCTTGCCCCTCCCGCTGCCAGCGGGCTTTTCTCTTGCTGCCGTCGGCGGCGGCCTCTCTTCTGGATCTGTCCTTCCCTGCCTCTCCCTGTGTCTCAGCATGTGTGCCCTGGGAAAAGCCTCCTTCAGCCCCCGCCCCTCCCCCTGGAGGTGACAACCATGGGCTTTGGCTGTCAGCACAGGGCATGAGTTATTTTGTTTTTTTATTTTATTTTTTTTTAAATGTATTTTATTGATTTTTTACAGAGAGGAAGGGAGAGGGATAGAGAGTTAGAAACATCGATGAGAGAGAATCATCGATCAGCTGCCTCCTGCACACCTCCCACTGGGGATGTGCCCGCAACCCAGGTACATGCCCTTGACCGGAATCGAACCTGGGACCCTTCAGTCGGTAGGCCGACGCTCTATCCACTGAGCCAAACCAGTTAGGGCTTGTTTTTTTATTTTTTAATCTTCACCCAAGGATATGCTTTGAGAGGGAAAGGGAGGGAGGGAGAGAGAGAGAGAGCAGTTGTCACCCATACGCGGGGACTGAACCCACAGCCTAGCTATGTGCCCTGACGGAGAATCGAGCCCACGACCTTCTGGTGTATGGGATGACGCTCCAGCCAGTGGGCCGGGCATGAGTCATTTTAGCTGAGCTATTCCAGGCTCCTGTTGTGGTCAGGTGAGCAGGTTGAACATGCCCCAGCCAGGGTCGCTCCAGAGTTGCCTGCCCCGGCCTCCACTCTGAGGGGGTTGGCGGGGCAGGCTCATCTGCAGGCGGCTCCTCTAACCCTTGGAGCCTGAAGGTTTTCTGATTCCTTGGAGGCAGGGCCAGAACTAGCCGTGGACCTGGAAACACCATGCGAAGAGCCCTTCCCCGCCGCCCCTCCCCTCCCCTCCCCCTGCCACACACCTGTTCCCTCTCTAACCTCACCACTCCCACAAGGGTGAGGCAAGAGCAAGAGCGGCGCCTGTAGGCAGCTGTGTGCTTCTGCAGCCGCAACCTGCAAGCACAAGCTTCCCTCCCCTCTGGGGGCCGCTGGGATGTGGGACCAGCCAGGCGGGGAGGCTCTCCCAGGCTGCCGCCAGCCGAGCTCACCTGGACAGAACCCGCGGCTGTTCCTAATAGCAGACTGACCTCCCTCCCACCCCCCGGAGATCTACACTCAGTGAGAATGGCTTCCCATTGAGCTTTTCCTTGTGGCGCCTATGACGACAGCCGCTTTAGGCATCTAGGACACAGATACTTGAGACAGTGTCTGGATTGGGGACCTGAAGTTTCTTGTAATCAGGACTCAGATATGTCCCCAAATATATGAATTCTTACTCTCCAATATGGCAGAGAATGGAGAGTAACTTAAACCCTAGCTGGTTTGCTCAGTGGATAGAGCATCGGGTCCCGGGTTTGATTCCAGTCAAGGGCAGATGCCTGGGTTGCGGGCTCCATCCCCAGTAGGGGGCATGCAGGAGGCAGCTGATCCACGATTCTCTCTTATCATCCATGTTCCTTTCTCTCTCCCTCTCCCTCTCTGAATTCAATAAAAAGCTTTTTTTTAAAGAGTCCCTTAAAGATGGGGGAGAAGGGAATAAAAGAAAGCAACGCCCTAAAGATATTTCTGTGCACTGGAAACGGCAGGCGTTCCCAGTCTTCTTGCCTACGAGGTGTGTAGACTAACGGTGAAGGGAGATACATGGGGCCCGGTGCTCCGGCCCGGCGACGGCGACGGGAGCATGAGAGCCTCGCCGCCGGCCTCTCTGCCTCTGCCTCTGCCTCTGCCTCATGTGCCTGTGTCCTTGCTTGCAGAACTCTAAGGGCGCCCAGGGTCTGGCTGGCCTGCGCAACCTTGGGAACACGGTGAGTTCTCAGCCCACATCTTTCCTGGGCCACCCCTGCCCTCCCGGCTGGGAGCCCCTGCCCACAGCAGGAGGTGCTGCGCCTCAGCCTCGCCGCTTCCCTGGGCCTTTCTCCCCAGGACCGCTCACGCTCCCCGCCCACCTCTGTCCGGCGCCCACACCCCTTTCTATACCCTCTGGGCAGGCACCAGTGGCATCACCTGTGCCAACAGCGGGCATTTGCCTCACCTCCGCCCCTTTCACTCACTCACCAGGGGAGGAGCTGGCGGCTGAGGGAGGGCCGCTGGGGGGGTGCCGCAGGGCCCCCCTGACGCGCGTTTCCTGCAGTGCTTCATGAACGCCATCCTGCAGTGCCTGAGCAACACGCGAGAGCTGCGGGACTACTGCCTGCAGCGGCTCTACCTGCGGGACCTCGGCCACAGCAGCCACGCGCACACGGCCCTCATGGAAGGTGAGCCCGCCCGCACAGCCGCTCCCCTGGACGCCTTTCTGCTCCGCTGTTGCTACACTAGGAGTTGTGTTTTCTTTCCTTTTTTTTTAAATATATACTTGTATTGATTTGTATTTGTATTGATTTCAGAGAGGAAGGGAGAGGGAGAGAGAGAGAAAGGAACAGCAGTGATGAGAAAGAATCGTGTACCGGCTGCCTCCATGCCCCCACTGGGGATCAAGCCCACAACCCGGGCCTGTGCCCTGACCGAATCAAACCTGGGACCCTTCAGTCCTCAGGCCGACGCTCTATCCACCGAGCCACACCAGCTTGGGCTAGTCGTTATGTTTCCTACGCACCTCTCCCTTTCCCTCCCGGCTCCTCCTCCCTGGGACCCTGGTTTTAGAGCTGGTTCTAGAAAATGCCTCGCCCGCCCTCCACCCTCCCGCTCTCCTCCTGATAGAGTTTGCCAAGCTGATCCAGGCCGTATGGACTTCGCCTCTCAATGACGTGGTGAGCCCCTCAGAGTTCAAGACCCAGATCCAGAGATACGCCCCGCGCTTCGTGGGCTATAAGTAAGGGCCTTGCCAACAAGTTTCCTCACACGCCCCCGCCCCCCCCGGGAGGGCTGGGGCAGCTCCTGGGCCAGGAGGGCTTGCTCACTCTCTGTTCTGGGGGCTCAGTCAGCAGGATGCTCAGGAGTTCCTCCGCTTCCTTCTGGATGGGCTGCACAATGAGGTAAACCGAGTCACAGTGAGGCCTAAGTCCACCCCTGAGAACCTCGATCACCTTCCGTAAGTAAGAGGAGGAACATGGGGAGCAAAACTGGATGGACTGGAGGTGTTTGCCTACGTCCTCGGGGCAGTGACTTGAGGAGAAGTTTGAATAGTAGGATAAGATTGATAGACCCTACACGGATCATGGTTTGACCTCTGACCCCGTTGCCTTCCCCTCTCTGGTCCCCAGTGATGACGAGAAAGGGCGGCAGATGTGGAGGAAATACCTGGAGCGGGAAGACAGTCGGATTGGGGGTGAGTGCAGGGGACGCCGCGCTTCCGTCACGTGCGTTAGCCTGAGTGGAGCACACCAGCCCTCAGGACCCTCCTCCCAGGCGCCCTGTCCTGCGTGGGTCCTGGGAACCGGGGAGGAGCCGTGAGGGGGCCGCACCCGCCCAACCTGTGTCCCCTCCCCAGATCTCTTTGTGGGGCAGCTGAAGAGCTCCCTGACCTGCACGGACTGCGGCTACTGCTCCACGGTCTTCGACCCCTTCTGGGACCTCTCGCTGCCCATCGCGAAGGTAGGCACCCCCTGGCCCACTTGTGAGACTCTCACCGGGCCCTTTGGTGCCGTTGACCTCTGACCTGTGCCTTTGCCCCTGCCAGCGGGGTTATCCCGAGGTGACCTTAATGGACTGCATGAGGCTCTTCACCAAAGAGGACGTGCTCGATGGCGACGAGAAGCCTGTAAGTGGCCTCCCGTGAGGCACCGCTTCCGCGTCCGGGGACACCGTCCCCTGTGGCCGCCCGCCCGGTGTCACCGCGCTCTCCTGTCTTCCAGACGTGCTGCCACTGCCGCGCCCGGAGGCGTTGCCTAAAGAAGTTCTCCATCCAGAGGTTCCCCAAGGTCCTGGTGCTCCGTATCCTTAGGACCGTGCGTCCCGGAGACCGGCTCGGCTGGCGGCCAGGCCCCGGGCAGGCCACAGCGGGCAGAGCGGTCTCGGGGCCTTTCTTTTCATGTTTGCTCTTCTGTCCCCAGAGGGGTGCCCGCCGTCGGGACCGGCCGTTATTTTGACTCTGTGCTTGTACCCTGTCTGTCCTTGACACGCTTCCTCCCAGATCTGAAACGGTTCTCCGAGTCCAGGGTGCGGACCAGCAAGCTCACAACGTTTGTCAACTTCCCGCTGAGAGACCTGGACTTGAGGGAATTCGCTTCAGAAAACACCAGTGAGTGTTTTTTTAAGTATTTCTTTTTATTGCTTTCAGAGAGGGAGGAAGAGGGAGAGCGAGATAGAAACATCAATAGTGAGAGAGAATCATTTATCAGCTGCCTCCTGCATGGCCCTACAGGGGATCAAGCCTGCAGCCCGGGCATGTGCCCTGCCCAGGAATCCAACAGTGACCTCCTGGCTCATAGGTCGATGCTCAACCCCTGAGCCACGCCGGCCGGGCAGTGTTTGTCACAGGGAGGGAGGGAGGGACAGGGCAGAGGTACCTGCCATGCAGATGGGAGTCAGGAGGAGGGGAAGCTGCTGGAGAGGGAGTTTGGAAACTGGGAACCAAGGCAGGAGGGGAGGGAGTGCCCGGGGGCTCGCACACCTGTGCTCCCTTCCCAGACCATGCTGTTTACAACCTGTACGCCGTGTCCAATCACTCCGGAACCACCACGGGCGGCCACTACACCGCGTACTGCCGGAGCCCAGCCACCGGCGAATGGCACACGTTCAATGACTCCAGGTGAGACAGACCTGCGCCCCCGGCAGGCTGCCCGGCCCGGCCTGGCCCTTGCCCATCTGCGTGGCTTCCACCGAGACTGACAGAAAGTCAGAGCCAGGGCCCTAGCTGGTGTGGCTCAGTGGGTAGAGCGTCAGCCCATGGACTGAAGGGTCCCGGGCTCAATCCCCAGTGAGAGGCATGCAGGAGGCAGCCGATGGATGATTCTCTCTCATTATTGAATCTTTCTCTCTCTCCCTCTCCCTTCCTCTCTGAAATCAGTAAAAATATATATATTTTTAAAAATTAAACAAAAAACAAAGTCCAAGCCAGGAAGCCAAGTGGCACGTCTGCTGCCATTTGAAGCCTAGAAGATGCAGATGAGGGTGGCACTGGGCGGGTCCCAGAGAGCAGGGCCGCCCGCAGCCCCTCAGCACCCCGCCTGCCGGGCGCTGACCCCCCTCTCTCCGCAGCGTCACCCCCATGTCCTCCAGCCAAGTGCGCACCAGCGACGCCTACCTGCTCTTCTACGAGCTGGCCAGCCCGCCCTCCCGCATGTAGCGGCAGAGCTACCCCCTCTCCCTGCCGCGGTGGCCCTACGCCCGACGACGTGTTTTTTTAAAAAAACAAACAAGCAAACCTGACAGATAAGAGAAAAATAAAGTACGTAAAGCTGCGGAGCAGGAGTGGCTGCGGCCTGGGCGGGCTGGAGCCCGCGCCCACAGCGAGGACCCCAGGACCCTCGGCTTCTCCCGGCGCATCGTTACGCCTCTGGTTTTTCCCGCGTGAAGTCAGCAGCAGTGGCGCGTGGGAGAGGACCCTCTGCTGCCTGCTCCTCCGAGAGGACGGCGCCCCCGGAGCCGGGCACCCCCCGGGACCCTGTGCAACGACCGTCCAGAAGCAAGAGACACCCCAGGAGCCAGGAGCCCGCTCAGCGCTAAGTCCCGGACAGACCAGGGCGCATCTTGGAAAAAAGCTGTTGTTGGCTTTTAAAAGCCCAGTTTTTTGTGCCGGCCCTCACTCAAGTGTTCAGACTGGAGACGCCCTCTGCTCCCCTCTGCCCAGCAGGGGCGGCCGGTGGTCTTCTCTCTCTTCAGATACACGTTTTCTAAGCTCGCTAGGCAGGCGTCCAGGCCCACGCACGGCACTGGAGGCCTGGATCTAACGAGTTTTGGTTTTTAGGGTTTTTGTTGTTTTCTTTCTTTTTTTAATGTTTTGGATGGAATCTAGTTGCCTCTAAGAATTGTGCCTTATAGCATTTGGGGACCAGGGGCGTGACTGTCCCTCCCTGAAATATCCCACAGCCACTTCCCTTGGCCCCACACCATGTCTGGACTGACTGGGGGAGGTCGGGCCATGCCCTTAGCCCCCGGCTGGCTGGCATCGCAGTGAGATGGAGAAGAAAGGGGGTGAGAGGATATTTCTTGCGATGTAGTGTATCAGGTTCCCCTGCCCGCTTCCTCCCCTCACCCCCCCGCACCACCCATCACTCCCAGCTGTTTGAAGGACAGCTCAGTCCCTGTCCCTAGAGCTCCTCCGCCTTTAACTTATTCCCTCTTACCCTGCGTTTTCTCCCTGACCTCCGCCCGCCCCGCCTTCTCAGAGCCTCCTGCACCGTTTCTCAGGGATGCCCGCACCACCCTCCCCGGGCACCAGTGCCCAGGCCTGCCCGGGGGTGTGCCCAGGGTGCTGAGACGCCTTGCCTCAGCCCCGTGATGTTTTCCCAGGGGCAGGGTTTGCCTTGAGCAGTCGGCAGACTTCGGTGCTGCCCCAGGGAGTCGGGCTGCTCCTGCACCAGGCAGGGAGCTCTCTGCACCACTTGTGCCAGGAGCCGAGCCAGCAGCTTCCCGGTGCTCCCAGGAGGAGGCGTCAGGGAGAGACCCCGCACTTCGCTGGCCTGGCACCCTTCTCTAGGGAAGCCCTGTGGCCCTGAGCCAGGGGCGGCGGACACGTGTTTACTGTGTAAGCAAGAGGAGAGCGGCGAATGCACACGGGGCCTCGTAAGGAATAAAGCCCAGCGTGGAGGGAGCCATGGTCTGTGACGCAGTCTTGGTCGGGAGGCTGTGGACTCGGAGAGCCTGCGCGTCAGAGACCAAATCCTCCACTGCCCCAACCAGAGTGCGTTCAGGTCCTGGGAGGCGGGCTGCCCACCTCTTAGTTTACGCGCTTCTATAAAAGCTGAACCAGTGCACATTCTGAACACTGTTCATCTGGACTCGCTGATAAACATACTTACTGATATTTTAAATGCCACACTTGTTTATGCTCCATTCTTTTGAGCAGGGCATTCAGGGCGAGGTGTCACGTCTCCATTTCTAAAGACCCCAGCGAGGTCTCCAGAGAAGAGGCCCGCCTCACAGCCTCAGCTCCTGTGCCTGAGGGCGTGGGTGTGCCTGGCGGTTGTTTCTCCAAGGGGACGGCTTTCTCTTTTTCTTTTTAAATATATGTTTTTATTTCTTTTTACAGAGAGGGGGAGAGAGACATTAATGATAGAGAAACAACATGGATCAGCTGCCTCCTGCACGCCCTACACTGGGGATCGAGCCCACAACCCGGGCCTGTGCCCTGACTGGGATTCGAACCATGACCTCTTGGCTCATAAGTCGATGTTAAACCCCTGAGCCACACTGGCCGGGCAAGGGGACTGCTGCGTCATTGCTGTGGGCGCTGGTGCTTCTCCGGACATGGGACATGCGGTCTGACCCCTGACGAGCTCAGATGCCCCCAGTGGAGGCTGGGAGCAGAGTGGCTCCTGGGTGTGGAGGGGCCAGAGCTGCTCCGTGACCGACGGGCAATTGCAACTTGCTCCGCTCACACCTGGAAACAGCTGCCCTGGCAGGAAAGGGTTTGTTCTCAGGTGCCCTTTCGATGCCTCACCAGGTAAAGAGGTGGCCGCTTCGGGGTGTGCAGGCATTGCCTCCGTTGGCTTTATCTTCTCATAGTTCTATCCAGATGCTCCATCTCCGCACTGAGCTTAGGAGAGAGAAGCTGCAGTGTCTGCCCGCTGAGCCCCACTGTTTTCTCAGGATGTTTCCCACTGCCATTCCCTCTCCGCAGAAAAATCAGGGCCTCGCCCGGCCGGCGCAGCTCAGGGGTCGACCTATGACCCAGGAGATCACAGTTGGATTCCCAGTCAGGGCACATGCACCGGTTGCAGGCTCCGTCCCCAGTGAAGGGCGTGCAGGAGGCAGCCAGTCAATGATTCCCATCATAGATGTTTCTGCCTCTCCCTCTCCCTTCCTCCATAAAATCAATATTTATATATATGTGTATATATATATATATATATATATATACACATATATATATATATATTAAAAAGTAAAAGAAAAATCACGGCCTGCCCATTCCATCCTTTCTGAGACAGGAGCACCTGCTGTCAGACACACCTAACAGGTGAGGTGGCGGCAAGCACATTTGTTCTGGGATTTGCCACGAGTGAAAAAGAGGGACTGGAAAAACTGATTCCCACTCGTGTTTCTCCCTGGGAGCTCCCCGCCCTGAATAAGGTTCTAAATGCTGCTGATTTACCCAAACCCCAGGGAATAGGGTTGCCCACACAATGAAGGGGGAGGCTTAGAGGGAAGTGAACAGGTAGCCCCATCAGTGTCAGTGGCTATGCCTCCCCTTTTTATATATATACTAGAGGCCCAGTGCACAAAAATTTGTGCACTGGGGGGGGAAGGGGGTCCCTCAGATCGGCCTGTGCCCTCTCGCAGTCTGGGACCCCTCAGGGGATGACAACCTGCTGGCTTAGGCCTGCTCCCCGGGGGATTGGGCCTAAGATGGCAGTCAGACATCCCTCTGGCAGCCCGGCAGTCCTCGGGGGATGTTTACTTGCCAGAGGGGTGCAGGCCTAAGCTGCAGTCGGACATCCTTAGTGCTGCTGAGGAGGCAGGAGAGGCTCCCACCACCACCACTGTCCTGGCAGCCATCAGCCTGGCTTGTGGCTGAGCAGAGCTCCCCCTGTGGGAGTGCACTGACCACCAGGGGGCAGCTCCTGCATTGAGCACCTGCCCCCTAGTGGTCAGTGTGTGTCATAGTGAACAGTCATTCCCAGTCGTTCTGCTGTTAGGGTCAGTTTGTATATTACCCTTTTATTATATAGGATACTAGAGGCCCGGTGCATGACATTCATGCACTGGGGCGGGGGGGTCCCTCAGCCCAGCTTGTGCCCTCTTGCAGTCCAGGACCCCTAGGGGGATGTCCTCCTGTGGGCCTAAGCTGGCAGATGGACATCCCCTGAGGGGTCCTTAGCACTGCTGTGGAGGTGGGAGGGGCTCCTGCCACCACCACTGGGCTCACCAGCTGTTAGCCTGGCTTCTGGCCGAGTGGTGCTGCCCCTGTGGGAGCACACTGACCACCAGGGGGCAGCTCCTATGTTAAGCATCTGCCCCCTGGTGGTCAGTGTGTGTCATAGCAACCAGTCGTTCCACCGTTTGGTCAATTTGCATATTAAGGTTTTATTATATAGGATATTTTTATTGATTTTAGTGAGGAAGGAAGGGGGAGAGAGAGAGACATCAATGGTAAGAGAGAATCACTGATCGGCTGCCTCCTGCTCACCCCACACTGGGGATCAAGCTCACAACCCAGGCATGTCCCCTGACTGGGAATCAAACTATGAACCTTCTGGTTCATAGGTCAGCACTCACCCACTGAGCCAGGCCAGCCGGACTGTGCCTCCCCTTTGAATCGTCGTTCCCTGGAGGTGGGAGCACCTAGGAATTCCTGCGTCTCCCAGGGGAGAGCGGATGGGCTGTGCCCACTCTGCCCTTGTCCCTAGCTCTCCCTTCTGTACTCAACCTGAGGTGCTTTGTCGTCCCCATGGCAACAGGTCCTGGTTCTACCAGATCCCAAACAAAATCTGTCCCCGTTGCTTTATCCATCAGCTTTGCGTCCTAGCAACTGGGGTTTCTCCCCCCCCTTCTTTGCGTGCCTCCCAGCAGCCTGGGGGGGGGAGGGGGCTGCAATTGCTCTGTGTGAGCTTCCACAAGGCCTCCCTCTTTCTGAGCCTTCATCCTCCTCTGTGACTTCAGGAGATCAGACTAGTGGACCTTAAAGGTCTCGGCTCACATGTCCTCATTTTGAGTCACTTGTCTCTAAATCAGCGGTTCTCAACCTGTGGGTCGCGACCCCTTTGGCGGTTGAATGACCGTTTCACAGGGGTCGCCTAAGACCATCCTGCATATCAGACATTTACATGACGATTCATAACAGTAGCAACATGACAGTTATGAAGTAGCAACAAAAATGATTTTATGGTTGGGTCACAACATGAGGAACTGTATTTAAAGGGCCAGAAGGTTGAGAACCACTGCTCTAAATACATGCCCCGAGTTCTAAGGAAACATATGGCTCTGGTTCCCTGGTTCCAGTTCATGAAGTTACTATAGAAATACAAGTGTGCAGCCCTGGCCGGTGTGGCTCAGTGGATAGAGTGTTGGCCAGTGGACTGAAGGGTCCCGGGTTCGATTCTGCTCAAGGACACACACCCAGTTGTGGGCTCGATTCCCAATGTGGGGGCATGCAGGAGGCAGCCAATCAATGATTCTCTCTCTCCCTCTCTCTTCCTCTCTGAAATCATTAAAAATATATTAAGTAAATAAAATACCAGTGGGCAAAAGCAGATTTACAGTTGTGAGTACACAAAACAGTTTATTTTTGTATTCTTATTATTGCATTATTTATTTGTATTTCACCTGTAAACCTACTTTTACCCACCCCTCTGTAAAAAATGATATGTGAGCATATATGATGGGACTAGTGCTCAGAAAATGCGTGTTCTTTCGTTTCCATGAGGCTGTAGAGTTAGGGCCGTGGAGGTGGCCTTGTCCACGGTCTCCTTTTGGCAATAAGGGTGCAAGCAAGAGAGGGGCAGACCCGTGCGGGAAGGGAAGGAAGCAAGGCGCCAGGAGGAAGCCAGCGGCCTGGGGCGCCTCCCACACCTGGGCGCCAGCAAGGCCTCTTCCTTGCCCACCGCCTCTGGCCCCCAACTACTCTACAGGGTTTACAGAAAGGGCGTGGGGCATGGACAGGAAAGGAAAGGAAAAGGACGAAAAATGGGAACCCAGGAATCCGCAGACCCAGCCGGGCAGCCCAGCCCTGCTCCTTGTCAGCGGACGCACTGGGGCCTCAATTCATCTGAAAAACGGGGACAAAAACAGCTCTGACCTCGCCCAGGGCCGTTGTGAAGGCCAAACAAGACCAGGGGCGGAGGGGTCTGCTCTCAGTGTCGGGTCCCTCCGCCTGGCTCCCCCGCCCCCAACACGCTCGCGGAGCAGCCATGGCAACGGCGCCGGTGCCGCCGCCACGGGGTCGCTGAGGATGGCGCGCACCCCAAGCCGGAGAGGAGGCTCCTGCTCGCCCCGCCTCCCGGCGCCTCGCACTCGTCCCGCAAACGGCCTGTTTCAAGACCCGTCTGCCCACGCCATCCTTGCTTCCAGCCGCTCCGGCCGGCCGGGCCCCGGGGCTCGGCCCACCGTGCTCGGCTCCTCCTTCCTGGAACTCCCCACCCCACCCCCAGGTTCTGCCTATTCAAACATTTTTCAACCCTTAAACTTTAGACAAAATGTCTCCCTCTTCCAGGAAGCCCCCCCGCCTGCCCCCCGCAGAGAGGGAGCATTGCTGCTTCCGCTTACCCAGCATCTGATTTCTGGTCTTCTCACCCAGTAAACTGTCTTCATGTCTGTCCCCTAAACCCGCGGTCCTCAGGGGACCCCTTTACACTTTTAAAATGATTGAGAGCCCCAGCCCGGCCAGGTTGGCTCAGTGGTTGAACATCAGCCTGTGAACCAGGAGGTCGCGGTTTGATTCCCCGTCAGGGCACAGGCCCGGGTTCAGGGCTCCATCCCCAGTGTGGGGCGCGCAGGAGGCGGCTGATCAATGGTTCTCATCATTGATGTTTCTCTCTCTCTCTCTCTCTCTCTCTCTCTCTCTCCCTCCCTCACCCTTCCTCTCTGAAACCAATAAAAATATTTTTTTAATGATTGAGAACCCCAAATAACTTTTTTTTTATTGATGAGAGAGAGAGAGAGAACAATTTGTTGTTCCACTTATTTATGCATTTATTGATTGCTTCTTGTATGTGCCGTGCCCAGGGATTGAGCCCGCAACCTTGGTGTATTGAGACGATGCTCTAACCAACTGGGCTTCCCAGCCAGGGCCCAGAGAATTTTTGTTTATATAATATCTACCAATATTTACCATATTAAAATTAGAACTGAAAGGAGTTTAAACATTTTCTTATTGATTTTTAAATAACAAATTTTAAAATAATAGTAAATCTGTCCAGATAGCTCAGTCAGTTAGAGCATCATCACAATACACCAAGGTTGCGAGTTTGATCCCCTGGCAGGGCACCTACAAGAAGCAACCAATAAATGCATTAATACGTAGAGCAACAAATCCATGTTTCTCTCTCCCTCTTCCTCTCTACAACCAATTTTTTTCAAAGTAATAACAGCCCTACCCAGTTGGGGTCAGTGAATAGAGCATCAGCCTGGGGACTGATGGGTCCTGGGTTCAATTCCAGTCAAGGGCACATGCCTGGGTTGTGGGCTTGATCCCCAGGAGAGAGCATGCAGGAGGCAGCTGATCAATGATTCTCTCTCATCATTGATGTTTCTCTCTCTCCTTCTCTCTTTCTCTCTGAAATCAATAAAAATCTATTTAAAAAAATAAAAAAATAATAACAGTAAACACTTTCTCTACTAAGATAAATAATATTTTCTATTTTTTCAAAAACTACATTTTACAAATCAAAAAGAAAATAATGTCCTAGCCAGTGTGTCTCAGTGGACAGAGCGTCAGCCCGCAGACTGAAGGATCCCGGGTTTGATTCCGATCAAGGGCACGTACCTTGGTTGCAGGTTCCCCGGCCCTTTTTAGGGCTCATGCAGGAGGAAACCAATTGATGGGTCTCTCTCACATTGATATTTATCTCTGTCTCTCCCGCTCCCTTCCACTCTCCCTAAAAATCAATGGAAAGATATCCTCAGGTGAGGATTAACAAAAAAAAGAAAAGAAAAGAAGGGAAGAAAGAAGAAAGAAAGAAAAAGGAAGGAAGGAAGAAGAAGGAAGGAAGGAAGGAAGGAAGGAAGGAAGGAAGGAAGGAAGGAAGAAGGGAGGAGGAGGAAGGGAGGAAGGAGGGAGGAATGAGGAGGAAGGAAGGAGGAAGGAATTAAGGAAGGAAGAATGAAGAAAGAAGGAAGGAGGAAGGAAGGAAGAGGAAGGAAGAAAGAAGGAAGGAGGAAGGAAGGAAGAGGAAGGAAGAAAGAAGGAAGGAGGAAAGAAGAAGGAGGAGGGAAGGGAGGAGGGAGGAAGGAAGAATGAAAGAGGAAGGAAGGAGGGAGAAAGAAAGGAGGAAGGAAGGAAGGAAGGAATGAAGGAAGGAAGGAAGTTAGGAAGGAAGGAAGGAAGGAAGGAAGTTAGGAAGGAAGGAAGGAAGGCGAAAGGAAGGAAGGAAGAAATGAGTAAGCAGGGTAACACTGTTTTACATTTTTCCAAATCTCGTGAGGTCCGGCTTGCTGATCACAGCTAGGTTCCCCTCTCCGGCTGCACGCAGTGTCCTGAGGGCACACACACCCAGCCTAGGGAACTGAACATGGAAAAGGTGTCAGTGCTGCTACGGAAAGACCTTTGACCTGGCACATCCTCCGTGCAGTCCCCACCTGAGGGCTGGGCCCGGACAGAAGCAGCCCGAGGCCCCACGCGTGAATGCGTAGAACCTGGGGGTGGGGCATCCCCTGAGTGGGAGGGCTTCTTAGGGTCACAGAATCGGCCTCCTAGGTCTCTCTTCTCTTCATTTGATCCCCACTTTGTTTCTCCTTGTGCCTCGCCTCCAGGGTGGGATGAAAGAGAGGGGCCAAAAGACCAGCACTTTGTTTGTTAATTCTCCCCGAGGATATTTTTCCATTGGTTTTTAGAGAGAGTGGAAGAGAGAGGGAGAGACAGGGAGAAACATCAATGTGAGAGAAACGCATCAATTGGTTGCCTCCTGCACAAGCCCGACCAGGGCCCTGGGAGGAGTCTGCAACCCAGGTACATGCCCTTGACCAGAATGGAATCTGGGACCCTTCACCCTTTGGTCTGCAGGCTGACGCTCTATCCACTGAACCATACCAGCCAGGGCAAGACCAGCACTTTGGATTCACCTGGCCCCACATTCCACTCTGGTCTCTGTCCAGGTGTGAGCGTGGGGAGCCACCTAACCCTCTAAGCCTTGGTGCCATCTTTTGGAAAGTAGTTGTGCTGCCTCATCGAGGGACTAAAAGAGAGAAACTGCGGGTCCAAGCTCTGCCAGGGCCTGACACCCGACAGACAGTCCACGGGGGCTGCCGGTGGTGTCAGCTGCCTCCCTGCCTCCCACCTGCCTCCCTCAGGTGAGCCTGGCTGCACAGGCCAGGGCAGCCGCCCTCACTGCTCTCCCTGAGGGCCCTGGGCCAGGCTGGAGTGTCCCAGAGAGCACCTGCTGGCGAAGGCGCGTGGAGGGCGCTTGTTGCAGAGTAGCTTCCTGTCCGCGGCCACTGCAGACCCCCAGCATCTGAGAGGCCGCTCTGCCCATCTGCCCGAGGCCTGGCGCCTTCTGCTCCCTGCCCCTCCTCCCTCAGGCTGGGGGCCCCAGGAAGAGGCAGTTTCCCCCTCACGTAGCACAGCCCTGAGCAGCCGTGTTCTGCCCGTCAGGGCTCATCTCCTTGTCCCGGGAGCACATGGGCCTCCACAGGCCCGGGCGTGGCCATTCCCTGGCCACCCTGCGAGGGAGGGCGTCACACCTGGTTTTGTCCAGGTACTTAGGGCTCATAGGCCTTGAAGCTGCCAAGCAGCCCCCTCAGCCTCCTTCCCCCCTAGCACCCCACAGGCTCACCCCACACTCCCTTGGTCTCTCTCTCTCTCACACACACACACACACTCACACACACTCACACACACATACATACACTCATACACACATACACACACTCACACACATACATACACTCATACACACACACACATACATACACACACATACATACACTCATACACACATGCATACATGCATACACACGTGCACACATACACACTTACACACACATACACACATATACACACACATGCACACACACTCACATACACACATACACACACACACTCCCTTACACACTCTCACACATACATACACACATGCACACACATACACACACATACACACACTCACAGTACACACATACACACTCACATACACACACTCACACACACACTCACACATACACACACACGCAGACACACACATGCACACACAGAGACACACTCACACTCACACATACATTCACACACACGCGCGCACACACATACACACACACTCACATACACACTCTCACACACTCTCACACATACACACACTCACACATACACACTCACACACACACATACACTCACACATACACTCACACACATGCACACACATACACACACATACACACACTCACAGTACACACATACACACTCACATACACACACTCACACACACACTCACACATACACACACACGCAGACACACACATGCACACACAGAGACACACTCACACATACATTCACACACACGCGCGCACACGCACACACTCACATACACACTCTCACACTCACACATACACACACTCACACACACACACACATACACTCACACATACACTCACACACATACACACACATACACACACTCACATACACACACACACTCACACATACACACACATTCACACACATACATACACTCATACACACACACATTCACACACTCACACATACACACACACTCGCGCACGCACACACGCGCGGCACCCAATTTCTCCTGTGGGATGTGCGCAGCCTGAGTGCCTTTCAGGCGCTGCCCGGGGCCCAGGCATGGCCCTCAGCTGAGTTGGATTAAGGGGCCGGTTCAGGCCTTTGCAAATTCCTTCCAGCGGCCGCCCCGTCCCTGACACAGAGCCCAGCGGCCAGGGGCCGGGCCAGCCTGCCAAGGGCGGCCTGGGAGCCGGTCCGCCTGGCAGCCGCTCCCCGGAAGCCCAGGCTGCCCCTTGGACAGGGGCTTGGGGCCAGGAGCGGGCCCTGGGGCTCAGGCTTCGGCAAGGCCTCAGACGCCGCCAGCCCCGGACATGAAGGGCCGCACAGACACCGTCCTGCATGTGGAGTCCGCAGAGCCGAGCCAGGTAAGGACCACCGAGGGCCGCTCTTCCAAACCCCACTGCCTGCCCTGCCTGGCAGTGCCCCTGGGCACCCCTGCCAGGCGGTGCCTCCACCTGCCCTCAGCCCTCCGGCCTCTCCCTTCCAGACTGAGTTCTGCAACCCTGCCTTTGAGCCCGAGTCGGGGCCACTGTGCCCTCCGCCCGCCTTCCGGGAGGATGCCCGCCGTCGCACTCGCACGCCCTGGCACGGTAGCCGTCTGGGGGGTGACACGGGAGGACTGAGAGGCCGGGGGGGTGCTGAGGAGAGGGGCACAGTCCCGCCCTGTCTGCCCACAGGTTGGCGTCCCCGAGGGCTGCCGCCCGACTGGCACCTCTGCGGGCTGTGCGCCCTGCTGCTGGCCAGCCTGCTGCTGGGGCTGCTGGGGCTGCTGGCCTTCCTGCTGGCCCGTGAGTGCCCAGGCCCTGCGGGGAGAGGGGCTTTGGAACGGGACTCCGTGGGCTGTGCCACTTGTGCCCCGGGATCCAGCCCCTTTGAATCCTCCCCCTCCCCCTTCCTGTTTTCAGAGCTGCAGGCTGCACCCCCATCTGGAGCCTCCTCTCCTCCGCTGCCCACCAGGGGCCTCATCGCCACTGGCACCCCCTCCACCACAGCCACCACCCCCTCTCAGGCACCGAGGACCCCTAAAGGGCAGCGAGAGGCAAGCCTGAGCCTCACACCCCAGGCCTGTGAGTGCCACAGGCCGACCTTCCAGGGGGCCATGAGCCCGGGGGCGGGCGGGGGGAGGGCTTGGAAGAGGCACTTGGGCCAGGGAAGGGCCTCTCTCCCATTGACCTCTGAACTCTAACCGCTGTCTCCGCAGCCTGTGGGGGCCTCCTCCTGGGACCATGGGGCGTCTTCAGCAGCCCCAACTACCCAGACCCCTACCCGCCCGACACCCACTGTGTGTGGCACATCCAGGTGCCCGCAGACCGTGCGATACAGCTCAGGATCGAAGCTCTGGACATGGAGAACGTGGCCTCCTGCCTCTTCGATCGCTTGGAGATCTCCCCCGAGCCAGAAGGCCCCCTCCTCAGGTGGGTTCCCCTCCCCCCAGGAGGCCTCGCCTCTGTCCTGAATCCTGTCCGGGGGCAGCACCGGGAGCGTCAGTGGTAAAGGCCTGATTGGGAGGAAATTGAGTCTCCACAGCTGAGCCCAGCTCTGCTACCCTCGTGCTCTATGACCTTGGGAAGGTCACTTCCCTTCTCTAACCAGTTTCCAAATCTGTAAAATGGATCCCCTACCTCCTTTCCCATCAAGAAATGTTGCAAGGCCCAGGCGGTGAGGCTCAGTGGATAGAGCATTGGCCTGCGGACTGAAGGGTCCCGGCTCAATTCCCAGTCAGGGCACATGCCTGGGTTGTGGGCTCGATCCCCAATGTGGGGCGTGCAGGAGGCAGCTGATTCATGATTCTCTCTCATCATGGATGTTTCTATCTCCCCCTCTCCCTCTCCCTTCCTCTCTGAAATCAATAAAAACATTTTTTTTAAAAAAAAAGGAAGAAATGCTGCAGGGATGGGTGCCAGGTGGGAGGAAGCCCAGAGCTTCCTGGGAAATGACAGGAGCCTTTCGGACCACGTTGGCTCAGTACGCAGCCCTGGCGGGCTCCATCCTGCCCCTGAGCCTCTCTCACCCTCACCCGGCTTCTTGCAGGGTGTGTGGCAGGGAACCTCCCCCCACACTCAACACCAACACCAGCCGCCTGCGCGTGACCTTCGTCTCAGACAGCAGCGTGGAAGGGCGAGGCTTCCAGGCCTGGTTCCAGGCCGTGGCTCCGGGGCGCGGTGAGTGTGTGCCCGCGTGGCCCCCGCTGCCTGTCCCTGGTCCCTTCTCTCCCCCAGCCGCTCCCAGCACTGGCAGGATGGGGAGGCTCTGGCGTGTCTGAATCAGGATGCCCCCACACCCCCCAGGGAGCTGTGCCCAGGATGAGTTCCCCTGCGACCAGCTCGCCTGCCTGCCTCCTGGCTTGGTGTGCGACGGTTTCGCCCACTGCGCCGATGGCAGGGATGAGAGCAACTGCAGTGCCCAGGCCTCAGGTACACACCCCGCTGGCCTCAGGGGGCCGAGGGAGGGTGCCATCTTCAGGCGTCTGATCCAGGCTCCCGCTGGGCTCTCGGCTCTGGCTCCGCCCTAACCCGCCTGGTCCTTGTCTGGCCTAGAACTTGTTCCCCATGGGCATGGCCAAACGTGCTTCTGCGGGTACAGCCAGGCCTCTGGGCAAAGGCCCCGCTGCTGGCCAACGCAGGGCCCTCCTCCTCTCTCCAGGATGTGGGGGCAACCTGACGGGGTTCCAGGGTAGGTTCTCTGCTCCCAGCTTCCTGCAGGGGCACCCTCGCCACCTGGTAAGCCGGCGCCCCGTGGAGAGGGAGGGTGGCTCCGGCCAGTGTGACTCAGGGCAGCACAGCAGACACTGCCTTGCCCTGGGGAAGGTCAGAGATCAAGCAGGCGGGAAGGGGTATTATTCTTTATTTTTATTGATGTCAGAGAGGAAGGGAGAAGGGAGAGGTAGAAGCATCAATGATGAGAGAGAATCATTGATGGGCTGCCTCCTGCACGCCCCCTATTGGCGATCAAGCTTGCAGCCCGGGCATGTGCCCTGACCAGGAATCAAACCATGACCCCCTGGTTCATAGATCGATGGTCAACCACTGAGCCACATGGGTCAGGCAGGAAGGGGTTATTAAGTGCCTACTGTATACCCAGTTACTCCTATCCTCATTGATCTGGGAGCAGACAAGCTAAAAAGGCCCTTCCTATCTGGAGAAGCACCTATGATGAGCTATGTGGGCAGTGCCCACCCACTCCAGGCCTAGCCTGGATGCCCAGATTGGGACAGAAGGAACCTGGAATGATCCCAGCTGTGCCTCACCCCCCACCCCCCAGCTTTGCACCTGGCATATCTCAGTCCCCACCGGACATGGCATAGAACTGCAGTTCCTCAGCTTCAACCTGGACGCCCAGGGGGAGTGCCAGTCTGACCACGTGGCAGTGTATGAGGCCAGCAGCTCGGGGGCCCTCGGCCTCCTGGGCAGGTATCCACAGCGCCAGGGGAGGAACCGGCCCTCCGTCCTCTGCAGTACCCCCTCCCTGCTTCCTACCAATTCACCCAACGTATTCCCCCCTTCCTGTCCTCTGGCTCCTCCAAGCAGGAAGTGGCTGCACTGTCCCCTACAAAAGGCCTGTGTTTCCTGCCCCACCACCTCCAGGAGGCCCGCCCGGGGCCCCAGCTGCGGGCCATCCGGGCCTCGGGAACGCCCACTGGCTTTCCCACCTCCAGTGGCTGGAGTTCATGCCTTTGTGAACACTCTGTCCACGGCACACGTGTCTCCCCCAGACCCTGAGTCCCATGACCCAGGTCTGTCTCCCACCCCCTCCAGCCTCACCCAGAGCAGCAGGCTCCTTGGGCCTGGGGGGCCTCGGGGCACCACGCCCAGCGCTGCTCTTGCTCTGCAGGTTCTGTGGGGCAGAGCCGCCACCCCGCCTCCTCTCCTCGCGCCACCGGCTGGCTGTGCTCCTCAGGACAGGCCCTGGCGTAGGTGGTGTGGGCTTCTCAGCCACCTACCGGGCCCTGGACGCCACAGAGAGTAGGTGCCCTGGGACAGGTGGCTGTGGGCAGTGAAGGTGCCTCCGGGAGAGGAGGGCAGGGCTGCGACCCTGGCCAGGGTGCCCTGGAGGCAGTGGGGGCAGATGTCCCCAGGCACTGCCCTCTGCCTGTGCCTGCAGAGCCCTGTGGGCCCACGGAGCCCTCCTGCCAGGACAAGGGGTGTAGGCGCTGGAATTGTGACCCGTGGCGAGGCTGTGCAGCGGGCAGCCCGGGCGAGTGCGGCGGCCCCTTGTCCCCACCTCCAGGTGAGAAGCGTGCGCCGGGCCTGGCAGGCTGAGCAGGCAGGGTGCCGTTCATAGCACACTCCAGAGCCCGGCCCCTGCATCCTCCTGGATGAGAGGGGTCACTCTCCTGATTCTCCACGGAGTCCTGTCCCCCCAAGCTCAATGGGAAGCAATGCTGAGGCTTCCAGAACCAGCCCGGCCTGTCACGGAGAGAGAGCCCCTCCCCACAGCCCCCTCACAGAGGAAGGCAAAAGCTGCTGAGGGGCTCTGCCAGTGCTGGTTCCCCAGCCATGCCCCCCGCGATCAAATGGGTGCCTGAAAAAACAGACATTAAAAAAAGATTGCCAGCCCAGTGGGGGGTGCGCAGGAGGCAGGCAATCCATGATTCTCTCTCATCATTGATGTTTCTCCTCTCTCCCTCCCTCTCCCTTCCTCTCTGAAATCAATAAAAATATATTTTAGCCCTATCTGGTCTGGCTCAATGGATAGAGCATCGGCCTGTGGACTGAAGGGTCCCAGGTTCGATTCCAGCCAAGGGCACATGCCTGGGTTGTGGACTCGATCCCCAGTAGGGGGCATGCAGTAGGCAGCCAATCAATGATTCTCTCTCATCATTGATGTTTCTATCTCTCTCTCCATCTCCCTTCCTCTCTGAAATCAATAAAATTATATATATATATATATATATATATATATATATATATATATATATATAAAATAAAAGGGTAATATGCAAATTGACCCAAACAGCAGAACGACTGGGAATGACTGGTCATTATGACACACACTGACCACCAGGGGGCAGATGCTCAATGCAGGAGCTGTCCCCTGGTGGTCAGTGCGCTCCCACAGGGGGAGCTCTGCTCAGCCACAAGCCAGGCTGTTGGCTGCCAGTACAGCGGTGGTGGCAGGAGCCTCTCCCGCCTCCTCAACAGCGTTAAGGATGTCCGACTGCAGCTTAGGTCTGCTCCCTGCTGGTAAGTGGACATCCCCCGAGGGCTGCCAGGCTGCCAGAGGGATGTCTGACTGACAGCTTGGGTCCGATCCCCCAGGGAGCGGGCCTAAGCCAGCAGGTAGACATCCTCCGAGGAGTCCCAGACTGCAAGAGGGCACAGGTTGGGCTGAGGGACCCCCCCTCCCCCCCCAGTGGACAAATTTTTGTGCACCAGGCCTCTAGTATATATATATAATTTTTCAGAAGAGGTACCTGCCTGGTGCCCAGGGCTGGCCATGGCACTAGAGAGGCTCAGGATATGTAAAGCGTCTCTCCCTCTGTTTTATCTCCTTTGATGCTCACAACTCCCTCTGGACCCTTGTAGCGTGATTGGGCAACGTGCCCCCGTCCACCAGCCATGAGTGGACCCCACAGTGACCCCTCCTGCCCCTGCAGAGCTGTCCTGTGAGCCCATCCGAGTGGAGATGTGCCTGGGGCTCAGCTACAATGCCACAGCCTTCCCGAACATCTGGATTGGCATGGCCACCCAGGAGGAGGTGATGGAGGTGCTCAGAGCATATGAGGTGCCCTGGGAAGTGATAAGGAGGGATCCCCAGGATGGGAGGGAAGCTGGGGTGTGGGAGCCTGAGGGCTGACCTCCTCCCACAGAGCCTGGCCCGCCTTCCCTGCTACCCGCGCTTCCGGAGGTTCCTCTGCGGGCTGCTGGTGCCCTGCTGCACCCCACTCGGCAGCGTGCTCCCCCCTTGCCGTTCTGTCTGCCAGGAGGCGGAGCACTGGTGCCAGTCTGGCCTGGCACTGCTAGGCACCCCCTGGCCCTTCAACTGCAACTGGCTGCCCGAGGCCACAGACCTGGACGCATGTGCCCAGCCCTGACGCCGACTAGGCCCCTGCCCTCTGCCTGCCCATCCTTTGCCTACCAGGGGGCAGGCCAGGGACCAAGGAAGGGGCTGCATGGGGCTCTGCGAACCTTCTCGGGGCCTCCGGGAAGGAGGGAACCCTCAGCAGGCTCAGGAGACCCGCCCACTGTCCCAGCTGCTTTCTGTCCCTGCACCTCCAGCTGTGCCGCTGGCCACCCAGCCGCTTCCCACCGAGCCTCTGACCCCCATTTCCTGCCTCCTGCCTCCCCTTCCACCTGCGTCTCCATCACCGGCCTTAACAAACAGAACATTTTTATTGACTTCAGAAAGGAAGGGAAAGGGCGAGAGAGAGAGAAACATCAATGATGAGAGAACCATTGATCGGCTGCCTCCTGCATGCCCCTCAGAGCAGGTCCACGCTCTACCCACTGAGCACACCAGCCAGGGCTCCAGCCCTGCCTTTTGATGTTTTCATTTGTTCGCTGAGTGCTGGGCTGCGGCGGGCCTGTCCTGAGTTCTGGGTCCAGCTGTCTGTCCGTCTGCCTCTAGCACTCTCTGCCCTCTTCTCCGGCACATTGCTGGGGCTGGAGTCTCCCCGGTCGCAGTCCGGGCACACCTCCCCCTCCGCTGTCTGTCTCCGGGCCCTCCGTCAGGCCGGCCGCCCCTCCTCCCGCGCAGCCTGGCCGCCCGCCGGGCACCACGCGTTACTTCCCTGCCGTCCGCGGCGGGGCTCTGGGTCTCCTCCCGGAGTCGGGGAGGAGCAGAGCCGAGCAGGCCCAGCGCGCAGCGGGCAGGACGGACGAGGGCGGGGCGCCCGCCGGGGAGAGCGGAGGGCAGCCCGGGCCGCAGAGCGGGGCGGGGGTCGCTGCGGGTCCCCAGTAGCCAGCGCCCGCCGGGAGGAGGCCGCAGACGGAGGGAGCCGCCGGGCGGGAGCGGGAAGGGGTGAGTCCGGTGGCGGGGACCGGGGCTGGGAGGGGCTGGGGAGACTGGGCGCGGGCCGGCCGGGCGGGCGCTTCACCCTTCCTGCCGGCTGTGCTCTCGGGTCGAGGGGGCGCCCCATTTCTTTGTCTCTCCCGGCCGTTCCGCTCCAGGGACTTGGCCGTGGGGTGGGGCCCGATTCGGCGGCGATGGGGTGGGGAGCGGGGCGGGTCCCGGAAGGCTGGGCCGACCCCTGTCCCGCCCGCAGGCGCGAGAGGACCGGCGTCGGGCCCCCGTGCCGGCGCCATGAGGCCGCTGCTCGCCCTGCTGCTCCTGCGCCTGGCGGCCAGCTCGGCTCCGCCCGACGACAACAAGATCCCCAGCCTGTGCCCGGGGCACCCCGGCCTCCCCGGCTCCCCGGGCCACCACGGCGCCCAGGGCCTGCCCGGCCGCGACGGCAGGGACGGCAGGGACGGCGCGCCCGGGGCGCCCGGAGAGAAAGGCGAGGGCGGGCTGCCGGGTAAGGCGGCGCGGAGACGTGGCCGCGGGCCGCGCGTGGAGGGGCGGGCGCTCCCGGGGGTGGAGGGGGCGCTCCCACCGGACCCGCCGAGTCCCTGGCCGGGGAGGGCAGGGGGGATCCGCCCGCGGGCGCGCTCCCGGGACCCAGCGGGTCAGACCTGCGCGCTCTGGGGACGCGGGGGCCGGGGCCGGGCGGGGGCGGCGGCGGAGCTGGGAGGGGCGCGAGGTCCCCAGGTCGCCCTCCGAGCTCCCGAACCCTCCCCTCCCCCAGGAGCGCCGGGGCCGCGCGGGGAGCCCGGGCCGCGCGGAGAGGCGGGTCCCGCGGGTGCGGCGGGGCCGGCGGGGGAGTGCGCGGTGCCCCCGCGCTCCGCCTTCAGCGCCAAACGCACGGAGAGCCGGGAGCCGCCGCCGCCCGACGCGCCGCTGCCCTTCGAGCGGGTGCTGCTGAACGAGCAGGGCCACTACGACGCGGCGTCGGGCAAGTTCACCTGCCGCGTGCCTGGCGTCTACTACTTCGCGGTGCACGCCACCGTCTACCGCGCCAGCCTGCACTTCGACCTGGTCAAGAACGGCGAGTCGGTGGCCTCCTTCTTCCAGTTCTTCGGGGGGTGGCCCAAGCCCGCCTCGCTGTCGGGCGGCGCCATGGTGAGGCTGGAGCCCGAGGACCAGGTGTGGGTGCAGGTCGGGGTGGGCGACTACATCGGCATCTACGCCAGCGTCAAGACGGACAGCACCTTCTCCGGGTTCCTGGTGTACTCCGACTGGCACGGCTCCCCTGTGTTCGCTTGATGCCCGCGGGCAGTGCGCCTGCTGCTCCCACGCCCAGGGGCGGGGTGTCGCCACGTCCTCGGGGAAGGCTGGCCCCCACAATGCTGTGAATGACGAGGGGTGCCTGGGGCGCGCCCGCTGCTGGCAGGGGTGGGGACAGGCTGCCTGAGTCAGGGCCTCGGCCTCGGCCTCGGCCCGGCACCGGCACCGGCACCGGCACCGGTGGTTCTGCCCAAGACCCAGGGAGTGCGCTGAGCTGGCAGGTGGGGTGCTCTCTCCCTGGGACTCTGCTTCCCTCCTTCTCCCTGCCCCCTTCCGCTTCTGGCCCTTTCCGTGGAGGCCACTCAATAAATCCACATACCGCTCCTGGCTCGGCTCCCGTCTTTGGTGGTGGAGGTGCCCCGGGCCCGAGGATGGGGAAAGTGAGGAGACCAGGGGAGGAGGGGAGGGCTCCCGGCGGGATGCGCCGAGGGCCCGAGAGGCCCGTGGGAGAGGCCCTGTGTAGGTCGTCAGGAGGCCCTCGCTGAGGAAGGCACCCTCTGGCAGGAGCTCTGGCCACTTGTCCGAACTCCAAGGTGTCCTATGCCCTGGGTAGGGGCTACCTTCACACACACACACACACCTGTTCTGATAACAGAAACGGAGCCCGGGTTTTTCGTTGACCATTTCAAGCTGCTCGCTTGGTCCCTAGATGGCTGGGAGGAAGGCTGCGTGCTTCTCTCTCACGCCCCATTTCCAGGGAGGGAGTGTCCCTGGGGTCGAGAGAGTAGTTTCTGAGGTGACCACAAGAGGGCGCCCCCACTCTAGAATGCAGTCATGACCCTGGGCAGCTTGAGTTATTTTTTATTGATTTCAGAGAGGTAGGAAGAGGGTGAGATAGAAATATCAATGATGAGAGAGAATCATGATTGGCTGCCTCTTACATGCCTGCCACTGGGGATGGAGCCTGCAGCCCGGGGATGTACCCTGACCAGAATCGAACCCGGGACCCTATAGTCCGCAGGCCGACGCTCTACGCACTGAGCCAAACCGGCTAGGGCAGCTTGAGCTCTGGACTCCGAGGCTGGTTGGCGGAGGCAGGATATGGAGGTTGGCCAGTGGAATTCCTGACGGGGTGGAGGGGAGAGTCCTCTGCCCTAGCTCAGGAAGTTTATCTTTCCTCCTAAACCGTTTATCCTCACTTTAAACAGTGTGCATAGCCAAGGCTCTCCTCCTTCAGCGCTCTCTCCAGGGTTGGGAGGGGGAGGGACGGGTAGAAAAAGGCCTCCCTCAGGCCTCCCAACTCCAAGGTGGAGATTTCCATGAACTCCCCCTACCCCTGCTGTGCTGGGCATAGCCCCGATGGGCTGGGTGGGCTGTGCCAAGTCTGAATCCTTCAAAGCTCCCCTCTTCTGACCTCAGAAGCAGCCCTAGTCCCACACCCCAACCCAATAACTAACAAATCGGGGCTTGCAAGGCCCCTATCAGCTCAGCCTCTCAGCCCGAGAAGGTAGAGGGGCGCTCTGGCCTTTTCCCTCTTCCCCTCTTGCAGGAGGCTGTCCCTGGCATTCCGCTCTGAGATTTAAATAGTTATGGGGCATGCTCCCCTCTCTTGCTGGTCAGATGAGGGCAGATATGACCAATGGGGACTGGGGTGAGCTGAAGACAGGCCTCCAGAGTATTGAACTTCAACTCCCTGCTCTCCACCAGGTCCCATCAGTGTCACTCTATGCCAAGAAAGACAAGCACCTGCTTCTCCAGGGATCAGAGTGTAGACTAGACACCAGGCAGCAGGAACCCCAAGTTCTCTCCTGGGAAGAGTGGCACAGAGGGAAAGCTGGGATGAGAAAGCTCCCACTTCTCTCTACCAGGGCTTTCTAGCAAAAACAGAAGAGGGAGGGCTTTCCAAGGCTGCCCACGTGAGGACACAAATTGAGTTGATAAAAGCCAATCCAGCCACACCGTGGGTCTCCCCAAGGCACAGGGCTCCCGTCCTACCTTCCCTCTCCCCCATCGGTTCCCCACAGATCACTCTGGTGACTAGCAGGACTGAAGGGCCTGCTGGAGTGTCAGTCACGCTGACCAGCTGCTCACCCTTGCAAGGATGCAGAGGCTGTCAGGGCTGTCAACAAACTTTATTCACTGGAAACAGAGCCACAAGACCCTCAGGGAACTGGCCCCACTGTTTGGGCCCCAGTGGAATGTGCACAGTCTGCCTTCGCAGTGCCTGGGAGAGGCAGGCAGAGGGGAATGCCATTTCCCCTGTGATGTGGGGAATGAAAGGACAGGGATAGAAATCTGGTTCTCTCTCCAGAGGCTCCCAGTGGAGCTGGGATGTGAGGGTTCATGGTCCCAAAGCCAGTGCAGCTACACACACACACACACACACACACACACACACACACACACACGGATAAACTTCTGGCCCCAGCTGTTGGACGAGGTTGGGAGGGAGCTTCAGAAGATCATGGCAGGCAAAAGTGGTAGCTCTAAGGGCATCTGCAAAACACCACCCCCAAAACCTGCCCGGCACAGGAGTTCTGGCTAAAAGCAAAGGTTCAAGAACATCCCAAGGCCCTTGGTTGCCAAAATACCCAAATCACACTGACGTGTTGTGGCTCCAGAAGCTAGGGAGAGGACCTGCGTCTCCAACAACAACAACAACAGAAAAACAGAAGCAGAGGAGGAGCCCCAGAGGCTGGCATCTGGAGGGGAGGCCGCAACAGCCTCAGGGCGTGACAGCGACACGCCTCCCTCAGCATCGCAGGGACCCACTGGGAAACAAGCTGCTATCCTGCCCCCACCCAGGTCACTGTCTTCCAGGGTGTCCCATCTCAACGTCCTAGACGTATGGCTTGGAGGCTTGGCATGACAGCCGCAGGGCAAAAGGCGATTCAGGCCAGGACCCGGAGGTCAGGTGTCAATGCTGTCCACAGGTGGCTGTGTGGTGCGTGGAGCTAGAGGAGGGCAGGCAGGGAGGGAGCTCTCAGAGGTAGACGTTGAGGGTCTGCAGGATGCCCCGGCGGCAGAGCGGGCAGTTGCGGTGGTAGACAGGGTGGCGCATCAGGATTTCGGTGCAGGCCTGGCAGAGGCACAGGTGCCGACAGGGCAGCAGCAGCACCGTCTTGCTCTGGTCCTGGCAGATGACGCACTTCTTCCGCTCCTCTTGCTCCTTCAGCAGCTTCCATGGGTCTTGCCCGGCTGTAGGCTCCTCACTGAGCCTCTCCCTGCCCCAGGCAGCAGTCACTCTGGCCATTCTACCTTCTTCCTCTTCTGCCTCTGATCTGGGCCCTGCTTCAGGAAGAGTGTCCTGTTGTGAGGTCCTGGCTGCAGGCACCCTTCTAGGGCCACCCTGGGGAGCCCCAGGTGCCCCTCCCCAGTTTGGCCAGCTCGCCAGCTGCAGGCTGCGGCTCCAGACTCGGCGCCAAGCCTCCATGCCCAGTGCGAGGCGAGACAGCCGCGTAACATCCTCGCGAAGCCTGTGGTAGGATGGCCGGGCATGGAGCTGACCGAGGGCCTGGGTGGCCAGCCTCATGGTGAGGTCGGGGTGCAGCACGGTCACCGTCACCGCCAGCACACAAGCCAGCAGCACCAGACCGGTGAGATTGACAAGCACAAGGCTGGCCACGAGGCGGGCAGCTGAGGCCAGGAGCTCCATTGCTAGCTGGCATGGGGTCCAGAGGAGGATGGCCATGGCCACAGCACTGCTGGAAATGTGCGCGAGGAAGGCCGCCATGACGTCCGTCACCCTCCACAGCGGCCCCATCACTGCATCCCACAGGGCCAGCAGCAGGGAGAAGAGGTTCTGAGTGCTAATGAGGCAGATGTTGACCAGGCTGTTGATCACGTAGGCCACCAGGCTCATGGCAATGGCACAGACGTCACAGGCCTGGCGCAGCAGAGCGTGGCCACTGGACACCACGTTGAGGAGGCCCCGGTGCAGGAGGTCCCGGCTCCTCCAGGCCCCGTGTGCGGCCAGGTGCCCCAGGAGCTTCAGGCTCTCCAGGCCGGAGCAGCAGCTGCACAGCAGGGTCCACAAGGCCTGAGCGCCCCCGACAGTGAACCGCATCAGGGCTTCCATCAAGGCCAGGAGCGACAGCAAGACTCCGCGGCCCAGGTGCACGAGGCTGGTCAGCACAGTGTGGGGCAGGTTGTAGATGAAGGCCAGCAGCCAGGCCACCGAGGCCAGGAGGGAGGACACCAGCAGGAAGTTCAGGTCCAACGCCAAGGTCAGCACGTCCAGCAGCAGGCCCACCCCGTTCACCACCAGGTACACAGCCTCCATGGCGGGGCCTGGAGGGCGGGGCCCACACAGCCCGGCTCCCGGTGAGGGGCGGGAAGGCTGCGATGTTGGGGGGACGGGTCGGGGGTGTACCTGGAAGGGAAGGAAACGTCTCAACTCCGGGCGAGAATCGACAGTCTGCGGAAGAAGGGGGCGGGGCGAGGGTCTCAGTGCGGGGAACGGGGTCCGGGAGGCCCGGCGCGGACGGCGGGCCGTCGGGGAGGGAAGAGGCCGGGCATGTCCGGCGGAGGTGAGCCGGCGGAGGAGCGGGGCCTGGCGGTGCAGACCTGGCGGCGGCGTCCCGCGTCCCGGCGGTTGGGGCCGGGCTGGGCCGGGGCCGGGAGGGCGGCGCAGGCCGGGCGTGGGCTCGCGGTCCCGCCGCGCAGGTGCCCTGTCCCGGCCCGGCCCCGTCCTCGGGTTCGCACTCTGCGCCGAGCGGGAGCGGAAAGGGGAGCCTCAGGCGAGCCCCGGTGCGGCCTCCACCCGGCTGCGCGCCGCCATCTTGTGCGCGGAGGGGCGGGGCCGGCGCCGGGACTGCAGGGCCGGCCGCCGGGCACGGGGCGCGCTCATTGGCTCGTTTGAACGGCCCGACGCCTTTACTTCCCGGAGCAGGGCGGGCGCAGGGCGGGCGCAGGGCGGGCGCAGGGGGTCCCCGCCCTCGGAGGGGGGCGGAGCGGGGGCCGCGACCGGCAGAGGCGGGGGTCTTCTCAGCGCCACCCGGGACCAGCGGGCCGCCCCTGGCCCGGGGAAGTCCTCTTTTGCGATTCATTCTCCCCGGGGGACCGCTCGCCGTCGGTGTTAGAGCGCGGGGGCGGGGGCGGGGCAGAGAGACGGATGCCGGAGGGACAGGTGGACGGGCTGCCTCCCGCCCGCGCCGGAGCCGGAGCCGGAGCCGGAGCCGGAGCCGGAGCCGCCGGGGCTGGAAGCGATCCCGGTGAAGGTGCGGGCACTGCCGCGGGGCCTTCTCCGCACTGCGCCCGCGCTCCTGGTTCGCCCAGTGGTGCGCGTTCATGGAGCCCTGCCCGCTCGGGGGCGAGGGGCGGCACGTGCTCCAGGCGCGCGCGCGCTCAGGCGGTTCACGAGGGGCGCTGCGCTTGCGGGGCTCCCGCGGCCACTCCTGCAGCCCTGTCCCATTCGCAGCTGCGGGGGGGGGGCGGGGGGGGGCGCTAGGTGCCCAGGAAACAGGCCCAGGTGGAGAGAAAGGGCGGGAATAACTCAGCTGCGACCACCTGTGGGCCAGTGAGCAAGGGCGCTCATCCCTCCAAGCGCGTCGGCCCCAGCTGCCTCTGTGCCGCGAGGACAAGCATGAATGTCCAGGGCTGCTGCCTGCAACCCGCCAAAAGCAGTAAAATTTGTGTTGTTTGGGGAGGGAGGTGTTTTTTAATTGGGTTGTTTGGTCTTTTTTGGATGTTGAGTTGTCTGAGTTCTTTATGACTTTGGGGTATTAATCCCTTATCAGATGTTTCATTGGCATTTACAGCGTCCCACTCAGTAGGTCATCTTTTCATTTTGTTGATGGTTTCCTTTACTGTGCAAAAACTGTTTAATTTGATGTAGTTCCATTTATTTTTTCTTTTGTTTCCCTTGCCTGAGATATGTCAGAAAAAAATACTGCTACAAAAAATGTCAGGGACTTTACTGCCTATGTTTTCTTCTAGTTTTATAGTATTTTTTCTTTTTTTAAAAATTAAATCTTTATTGTTCAGATTATTACAATTGTTCCTCTTTTTTCCCCCCATAGCTCCCCTCCACCCGGTTCCTCCCCCTCTGCCCTTACCCCACACCCCCCACTGTCCTCATCCATAGGTGCACGATTTTTGTCCAGTCTCTTCCCACACCCCTTCCCCCGCCCCCCAGAATAGTCAGTCCATTCCCTTTCTATGTCCCTGATTCTATTATATTCACCAGTTTATTCTGTTCATCAGATTATTTATTCACTTGATTTTTAGATTCACTTGTTGATAGATGTATATTTGTTGTTCATAATTTGTATCTTTACCTTTTTCTTCATCTTCCTCTTCTTAAAGGATACCTTTCAGCATTTCATATAATCCTGGTTTGGTGGTGATGAACTCCTTTAGCTTTTCCTTATCTGTGAAGCTCTTTATCTGACCTTCAATTCTGAATGATAGCTTTGCTGGGTAAAGTAATCTAGGTTGTAGGTTCTTGCTATTCATCACTTTGAATATTTCTTGCCACTCCCTTATGGCCTGCAAAGTTTCTGTTGAGAAATCAGCTGACATTCGTATGGGTACTCCCTTGTAGGTAACTGACTGTTTTTCTCTTGCTGCTTTTAAGATTCTCTCTTTGTCTTTGGCTCTTGGCATTTTAATTATGATGTGTCTTGGTGTGGTCCTCTTTGGATTCCTTTTGTTTGGGGTTCTCTGCACTTCCTGGACTTGTAAGTCTATTTCTTTGACCAGGAAGGGGAAGTTTTCTGTCATTATTTCTTCAAATAGGTTTTCAATATCTTGCTCTCTCTCTTCTTCTGGCACCCCCATAATTCGGATGTTGGTACGCTTGAAGCTGTCCCAGAGGCTCCTTACACTATCTTCATATTTTCGGATTCTTTTTCATTTTGCTTTTCCGGTTGGGTGTTTTTTGCTTCTTTGTATTTCAAATCTTTGACTTGATTCTTGGAATCCTCTAGACTGCTGTTGGGAGTCTGTATAATATTCTTTATTTCAGTCAGTGTATGCTTAATTTCTAGTTGGTCCTTTATCATAACCTCGAGGGTCTCACGAGATTTCTTGAGGGTCTCACTAAATTTATCGGCGGTTTCTAGAAAATTCTTGAAAAACCTTAAAAGTGTGGTTTTGAACTCTATATCCAGTCGTTTGCTTTCCTCCATTTCTGTCATTTGTGACTTGTTTCTTTGTCTCTGCATTTTTTATGCTTCCCTGTGTTGATAGAGTGGCTTTCTGTGTTGGGTGTCCTATACGGCCCAGTGGCTCAGCCTCCCCAATTACCTGAGGTGGACACTCTTGGTGCACCCCTTTGTGGGCTTTGTGCACAGTCTTGTTGTAGTTAAGCCTTGATTGTTGTAGGTATCACTGGGAGGAATTGACCTCCAGGCCAATTGGCTGTGAGAGTCAGCTGTGTCTGCAGTGGGAGAACTTCTGAGCTGGAGACACCCTTCTGGGGCAAGACTTGCTTCAGTGGGGCTTTGGTGCTCACTGAGTCTTCCCCCTGAGTGTGTCCCTTATGGATCTGAGGAGTTGTAATTGGATGGTCCCACTCTGACCACTGGGTACACTGGCTCTTGGATCTCTAAGGAGGTGCTAATTTAGACTCTGCCTGAGGCTACCCAGCAGGAGCTATGGAGAGATTCCTCTTCTTTGTTTGGGGTTTGGAGGTGCCCAGATGAGGCCCAGCTGTGAAGCAATGCAAGCTGCTGTGGGTCCTTGGACCTTCTTTTGGAAGTTCTGGGTCTCTCTGATTCAGTTGCAGTTTGTTAGGTAATTTTCTGGTTGCAAAGTGCCAGGCCTTTCATATGCAAAAGCCTCTGCACTCAGCTTGGGTGGGGCGGGGTCTCAGGGGATCAACAGGGCGGAGCAAGCAGCTATGGCTGCTTCCCAGTCCTACCCTAAGAGGCCCCGCGTCTCAGTGTCCTGGTAATCGCTGCAAGCACCTCTGAAAGAAAGCTACCCTCGAGTTCTGCCCGATGCCAGACAGTCCAGTTTCTCCCCGTATGAGTCTGGGTCCCCAAAGACTCACCCGGAACTGGATTTCAGAGCAGTCAGGAGCATGAGACTCCCTTCCGATTGAAAAAGACAACCGTGTCCTCAGTTTCCAGCCCTCTCCACGTGCACCTTGTCCTCAGCTGCCAGCCCTCTCCACGTGCGCCACATCCTCAGTAGCCAGCCCTTTCGGCGTGCGCCTCCGTACCTCTGCACTTGACTTCCACAGGTCCTCTGAGTCTCAGTGTGCTTTTCTCTTTCCTTCTAGTTGTAGAATTTCCACTCAGCCAGCCTTCCTGTGGTTCTGCATGATGTCCGTTTTGTCTTTTAGTTGTATTTTTGAAGTGGTTGTGGGAGGCAGCAATTTCCGGTGTTTACCTAGGCCACCATCTTGGTTTCTCCTAGTTTTATAGTTTCAAGTCTAACATTTCAGTCTTTAATCTACTTAGAGTTTATTCTTGTATATGTTGTAACAAGGTGGTATAGTTTCTTTTTTTAAAAAATTTTTGCATGTATATGTCCAATTTTCCCAGCATAGTTTATTGAAGAGACTGTCTTTATCCCATTGTATGTTCTTGCCTCCTTTGTCATAGATTAATTGACCATATAGGCATGGGTTTATTTCTGGGCTCTCGATTCTGTTCCATTCATCTATGTGTTTGTTTTTATGCCAATACCATGCTGTTTTATTACTATAGCCTTGTAGTATAGTTTAATGTCAGGTAGTGTGATGCATCCAAATTTGTTCTTCTTTTTCAAGATTGCTGTTGCTATTCTGGGTCTTTTGTGTTTCCATAAAATTTTGGATTATTTATCTACTCCTTTGAGAACCACCATTGCTATTTTAATAAGGATCACATTGAATTTATAGATTGCTTTGGGTAATATGGACATTTTAATGATGTTAATTCTTCCAATCCATGAACAAGGTATATGCTCCGGTTTATTTGTATCTGCTTTTATTTATTTCTATTGTCATAATTTTCTGAGTACCGGCCTTTTACTTCCTTGGTTAAATTTATTTCTAGGTATTTTTTATGCAATTGTAAATGGGATTTATTTTCTCTCTGATAGAGACTATTCATGTATAAAATACACATGATTGGTGTATAAAAATGCAACTGATTTCTAAATATTTAATTTTTGTCCTGCTACTTTACTGAACTCATTTCTCAGTTCTAGTAGATTTTTGGTGGAATCTTTAGGGTCTTCTCTATACAGTATCATATCCTCTGCAAATAATGATAGTTTTACTTTTTCCTTTCAAATTTGGATGCATTTTATTTCTTTCTTTCTTTCTTTTAGTTTTATTGCTTAAAGTATTACAAAGGGTATTACATATGTCTCCTTTTTTCCCCCGCCCTTGACAATCCCCTACCCGCCCCCCCACCCCCCAGTGTCTTATGTCCATTGGTTATGCTTATATGCATGCATACAAGTCCTTCAGTTGATCTCTTACCCACCCCCACCCCCTTCTGCCCCTCTACCCTCCCCGGCCTTCCTGCTGCAGTTTGACAGTCTGTTTGAGGCAGCTCTGCCTCTGTATCTATTTTTGTTCATAAGTTTATAATGGTCTCTATTATCCATGAATGAGTGAGATCATGTGGTATTTTTCCTTTATTGACTGGCTTATTTCACTTAGCATAATGCTCTCCAGTTCCATCCATGCCGTTGCAAATGGTAAGAGTTCCTTCTTTTTACAGCAGCATAGTATTCCATCGTGTAGATGTACCACAGTTTTCTAATCCATTCATCTGCTGATGGGCATTTAGGCTGTTTCCACATCTTAGCTATGGTGAATTGTGCTGCTATGAACATATGGGTGCCTATATCCTTTCTGATTGGTGTTTCTGGTTTCTTGGGATATATTCCTAGAAGTGGGATCACAGGGTCAAATGGGAGTTCCATTTTCAGTTTTTTGAGGAAACTCCATACTGTCTTCCATAGTGGCTGCACCAGTCTGCATTCCCACCAGCAGTGCACAAGTGTTCCTTTTTCTCCACATCCTCTCCAGCACTTGTCGTTTGTTGATTTGTTGATGATAGCCAGTCTGACAGGTGTGAGATGCTACCTCATTGTTGTTTTGATTTTCATCTCTCGGATGATTAGTGACTTTGAGCATGTTTTCATATGTCTCTTGGCTTTCTGAATGTCCTCTTTTGAAAGGTGTCTATTTAGGTCCTTTGCCCATTTTTTTATTGGATTGTTTATCTTCCTTTTGTTAAGTTGTATGAGTTGCCTGTAAATTTTGGAGATTAGGCCCTTATCAGATATGACATTGGCAAATATGTTTTCCCACACAGTGGGTTTTCTCGTTGCTTTGTTGATGGTTTCTTTTGCTGTGCAGAAGCTTTTTATTTTGATGTAGTCCCATTTGTTCATTTTCTCTTTAGTTTCAAGTGCCCTAGAAGCTGTATCAGTGAAGAAATTGCTTCGGCATATGTCTGAGATTTTGTTGCCTTTGGATTCCTTTAGTATTTTTATGGTTTCCCATCTTACATTTAAGTCCTTTATCCATTTTGAGTTTATTTTTGTGTATAGTGTGAGTTGGTGGTCTAGTTTCATCTTTTTGCATGTATCTGTCCAATTTTCCCAACACCATTTATTGAAGAGACTATCTTGGCTCCATTGTATGTTCTTGCCTCCTTTGTCAAATATTAATTGAGCATATTGGTTCGGGCCGATTTCTGGGCTCTCTATTCTATTCCATTGATCTATATGTCTGTTCTTGTGCCAGTACCAGGCAGTTTTGAGAACAGTTGCTTTGTAATACAGCTTGATATCTGGTCTTGAGATCCCACCTACTTTGTTCTTTCTCAGGATTGTTGCAGCTATTCGGGGTCTTTTTTTATTCCAGATGAATTTTTGGAGAGTTCGTTCTAAATCTGTGAAGTATGCCATTGGTATTTTAATGGGAAGTGCATTGAATTTATAGATTGCTTTGGGTAGTATGGACATTTTAATGATGTTGATTCTACCAATCCATGAACACGGTATGTTCTTCCATCTGTTTATGTCTTCCTCTATATCTTTTTTCAACGTCCTGTAGTTTTCTGAGTAGAGGTCTTTTACCTCTTTAGTTAAGTTTATTCCTAGGTAGCTTAATTTTTTTGGTGCGATGGTAAACGGGATTGTTTTTATAATCTCTCTTTCTGAAAGTTCACTATTGGTGTATAGAAATGCCTCGGATTTCTTGGGGTTAATTTTGTATCCTGCTACATTGCCAAATTCATGTATTAAGTCTAGTAGATTTTTGATGGAGTCTTTAGGGTTTTGTATGTATAATATCATGTCGTCTGCAAATAAGGACAGTTTTACTTCCTCTTTTCCAATTTGGATGCCTTTTATTTCTTCTTCTTGTCTAATTGCTGTGGCTAGTACTTCCAGTACTATGGACATCCCTATCTTGCTCACAATCTTAAGGGAAATGCTTAAGTTTTTGCCCATTGAGTATGATGTTGGCTGTGGGTTTGTCATATATGGCCTTTATTCTGTTGAGGTATGTTCCCTCTATTCCCTCTTTGCTGAGAGTTTTTATTTTAAACTAGAGGCCCGGTGCATGGATTCATGCATGGGTGGGGGCCCTCAGTGTGGCCTGCAGGGATTGGGCCAAAACCCGCAGTCCAATGCCACCTGCCACTCCTGCCTTCCACTCCCGCTCATCCCAGCCCCACTGCTCCTGCCACGGGCTCGCACCCAGTCAGTCCTGATAGAGAGAGGCTTGCGCCACCACAGCAGCGCTTGCCAACAGTGAGCCCTGCATCTGGTGCCTGTCCCAAGGGGGATGGGGGGACTGGGGCTCAATCGGCCCTCCACGCCAGCAGTGGGACACCCTTGCTGGCCCGGGATCTGGATCCTTCCTGCTGATGTTCACACCGGTTGTCAGGAGCCACCTGGCAGCCACTTTGATATGGTTTCTTCCTTGGGGAGCATCTAGGGAGGGGAAGCAGCCACGGTGCCAGAGGCTGACTTCCAGGAGGCCAGTGGTGCTGTCGGGATCGTGCCGGAAGCACTGTTCCTTTGGTGCCTGGCACGTTCTCCAGAGATTGGACCTGCAGGACTACTGAGGGAGGGAGTGGCTGCCACTGGGGCTGGTCGATCAGCTGAGCAGCATTCCTGCTGTGGGAGCACACTGACCACCAGGTGGCAGCTCCTGCATTGAGAGTCTTCCCCCTGGTGGTCAGTGCGTGTCATAGCGTCCGGTCAACCAGTCATTTGATTACTTAGGCTTTTATATGCTGGTATATAGATGAGTACTGGATCTTGTCAAGTGCTTTTTCTTTGTCTATTGATATGATCAGTGTTTTTGTGTGTGTGTGAATTGATTTCAGAGAGGGAGAGAGAGAAAGAAACATCAATGAATCATTGATCAGCTTCCTCCTGCACACCCCACACTGGGGATTGAGCCCACAACCCTGGCATGTGTCCTGACCAGGAATCAAAACTGTGACCTCCTAGTTCATAGGTTGATGCTCAGCAACTGAGCCAGGCTGATGATATGGTTTTTATCCTTCATTTTGTTTATGTGGTGTCTCACGTTTATTGATTTGTAGATATTGTACCAACCTTGAATCCCCAGAATAAATCCCACCTGATCATGGTGTGTGATCTTTTTAAATATTGCTGGATCCATTATGTTCATCAGGGATATTGCCCTGTAATTTTCGTTCTTTGCAGTGTCTTTATCTGGTTTTGGAATTAGGATCATGCTGGCCTTGTAAAGTGAGCCTGGGAGTCTTCTTTCCTCTTGCATATTTTGGCATAGTTTGTGAAGGATGTGTTAGTTTTTCTTTGAATGTTTGGTAGAATTTATCTGTGAGGCCATCTGGTCCGGGAAGTTTTGTTGGGAGTGTTTTTATTGCTGCTTCAGTTTCACTGGTTGTAATCTGTCTGTTCAGATCCTGCGCTTCTTCCTGATTCAGTTTTGGAAGCTTGTGTATTCTAGGAGTATATACATTTTGTCCATTGTCCAATTTTTTGGCGTACGGTTGTTTGTAATATTTTCTTTCAATCCTTTGTATTACTTTGGTGTTACTTGTTACTTCACCTCTTTCATTTCTGATTTATTGCTACACTCTCTTTTTTATCTTCATGAGTCTGGTTAAAGGTTTGTCAATCTTTTCTGTCTTTTCAAAGAACTAGGTCTTGGTTTCATTGATCTTTTGTATTGATTTTTTAGACTCCATTTTATTTATTTCTGCCCTGATCTTTATTATTTTCTTTCTTATACTCACTTTGGGGTTTGTTTGTTCTTTTTCAGGTGTCTTTAAATGTAAAGTTAGATTGTTTGAGACTTTTCTTGTTTTTGAGATAGGCCTGTAATGCTATGGATTTCCCTCTTAGGACTGCTTTCACTGCATCCTGTAGATTTTGGGTTGTTGTACCTCATTTTCATTTGTTTCAAGGTATCTTTTGGTATCTTCTTTGATCTCATTGTTAGCCCATTCACTGTTTAGTCATATGTTATTTGGCCTCCATGTCTTTGTGTGTTTTTCAGTTTTGTTTTGGTTTTTTTGTTTTTTTTTAATATATTTTATTGATTTTTTACAGAGAGGAAGGGAGAGAGATAGAGAGTTAGAAACATCGATGAGAGAGAAACATCGATCAGCTGCCTCCTGCACATCTCCCACTGGGGATGTGCCCGCAACCCAGGTACATGCCCTTGACCGGAATCGAACCTGGGACCCTTCAGTCCACAGGCCGACGCTCTATCCACTGAGCCAAACCGGTTTTGGCATGTTTTTCAGTTTTTTCTTGAGGTTGATTTCCAGTTTCAGAGAAGATGCTTGATATTATTTTAATATTCTTAAATTATTGAGATTTGTTTTGTGTCCTAATATGTGGTTTTTCCTAGAAAATGTTCCATGTGCACTGAAAAGAAGGCATATTCTGCTGTTTGGGGTGAAATGCTCTAAAGATATCAATTAGATCCATCTGACCTGGTGTGCCAGGTAAGGCCACTTAATCTAGGCTTTTTCTGTCTAGAAGATCTATCATCGATGTCAACAGGGCGTTAAAGTCCCCTACGTGACTGTCCATCTCTCCCTTATATCCAGCAAGATCTGCTTGATATTCAGATGTTCCTCTGTTGAGTACATAAATGTTTATAAGGGTTATAGCATCTTGTTGAATTACTCCCTTTATCATTATGTAGTATCATTCTTTGTCCTTATTTTTTTTAAATATATTTTATTGATTTTCCACAGAGAGGAAGGGAGAGAGATAGAGAGTTAGAAACATCGATGAGAGAGAAACATCGATCAGCTGCCCCCCGCACATCTCCCACTGGGGATGTGCCCGCAACCCAGGCACATGCCCTTGACCGGAATCGAACCCGGGACCCTTCAGTCCACAAGCCGATGCTCCATCCACTGAGCCAAACCGGCCTCGGCCTTTGTCCTTTTTAAAAGTCTATTTTGTCTGATATAAGTATTGCTACCTCAGCTTTTTTTTTCCTTTTCCATTTACATGAAGTATCTTTTTCCATCCCTTTACTTTTAGTCTGTGTGTATCTTTTCATTATGAGGGGGGTATCTTGTAGACAGCATATACAGGGTGTCCCAAAAAGTGTATTCACCTTTTGAATAATTATTTAACGCATTCTAATGGGTTAAATCTGAAAAGAAAGAAACATCAGTTGAGTTATTAGCTATTGAAGTGTGTGTACATTTTTTGGGGAGACCCAGTATATGGGTCATGTTTTCTTATTTGTTCAGCTATCTGTCTTTTATTTAGAGCATTTAAGCCATTTACATTTAAAGTAATTATTGATAGATACACATTTATTGCCATTTTATTCTTTTAATTACATTCCTGTTTTTGTTTTCTTCTCATCTTCTCCCTCCTCCTCACCTCCTCCTCCTCCTCTTCCTTCCCCTTCTCCTCCTTCTTAAAGAAGGCCCTTTAACAGTTCTTATAATGCTGATTTGGTGGTAATAAACTCATTTAGCTTTTTCTTGTCTGGGAGGCTATTTATTTCTCCTTCAATTTTAAAAGATAACCTTGCTGGGTAAAGTAGTCTTGGTTGTAGGTCCTTGATTTTCATCACTTTGAATATTTAATGCCAATCCCTTCTGGTCTGAAATGTTTCTGTTGACTTAAATATTGGACTCAAAACCATAAAAATCCTAGAAGAAAAGATACATAGTAATATCTCAGACATTTCTTATAGCAATATTTTTTTCTGCTATTTCTCCTTGGGCAAGGGAAACAACAGAGAATATAAACAAATGAGACTACACCATACTAGAAAGTTTTCACATAGCAAAGGAAACCATCAACAAAATGAATGGGACAATATATTAACCAATATATCTGATAAGGGGTTAATATCCAAAATTTATAAAGAACTTATAAAACTCAACACCAAAATACCCAAACAATCCAATTAAAAAAAATTGGCAAAGGACCTGAATAAACACTTCTCCCAAAAGGACATGCAGCTGGTCAATAGACATATGAAAAGATACTCAACATCACTAATTGTCAGAGAGATGCAAATTAAAACGACAATGAGGTATCACCTCACACCTGTCAGAATGACTATCATCAATAAATCAACAAACAACCAGTGTTGGCAAGGATGTGGAGAAAAGGGAACCTTCGTGCACTGTTGATGGGAATACAGATTGGAGTGGCCACTGTGAAGAGCAGTATGGAGTTTCCTCAAAAATTAAAAATGGAACTGCCTTGCCCTGACCGGCTTGGCTCAGTGGAGAGAGCGTCAGCCTGCAGACTGAGGGGTCCCAGGTTCGATTCCGGTCAAGGGCATGTACCTTGGTTGCAGGCACATCCCCAGTAGGGGGTGTGCAGGAGGCAGCTGATCGATGTTTCTCTCTCGTCGATGTTTCTAACTCTCTATCCCTCTCCCTTCCTCTCTGTAAAAAATCAATAAAATATATTTTTTAAAAAATGGAACTGCCTTGTGATCCAGAAATTTCACTTTTGTGGATTTATCCTAAGAAACCCAAAATACTTATTCAGAATAATATATGCATCCCTATGTTCATTGCAGTTTTGTTTACAATAGCCAAGATTTGAAAGCAGCCTAAGTGCCCATCAGCAGATGAGTGAATAAAAAAGCTGTGGGAGCCCTGGCCGGTTTGGCGCAGTGGATAGAGCATTGGCCTGCGGACCAAAAGGTCCTGGGTTCGTTTCCAGTCAAGGGCAGGTACCTTGGTTGCAGGCTCCTCCCCAGCCTGGGCCCTGGTCAGGGCTTGTGCAGGAGGCAACCAATCGATGTGTTTCTCTCACATCAATATTTCTCTCTGTCTTTCTCTCTCTCTTCCACTCTCCCTAAAAATCAATGGGAAAACATCCTCAGGTGAGGATTAACAACAACAACAACAAAAAGCTGTGGGACATTTACACATGGAATACTGTGCAGCTGTAAAAAAGAAGGATCTGTTACCCTTTGGGACAGCATGGATGGACCTGGAGACTATTGTGCTAAGTGAAATAAGCCAACCTGAGAAAGACAAATATCATATATCTCACTTATTTGTGGAATCTAATGAACAAAACAAATTGACCAACAAAATAATACCCAAGGTGCAGTCACCGCCGGGCTGTGCGAAGCCCGAGGTTGCCGTGCGGACACTGCGAACGGGCCGGCAGCCAGGGCGGGCGCCGTGGAGGGCACGAGGCTGTGCTCGCTGCCCGTCCTGCTCCTCGCCGCGGAGATGCCTGCAGTGGAAGGCAGTTGTGAGAGAAACGAGTTCCAGTGCCAAGATGGGAAATGCATCGCCTGCAAGTGGGTTTGTGATGGGAGTGCCGAGTGCCAGGTGCCAGGACCAGTCCCATGAATCCCAGGAGACATGTAAGTCTGTCACCTGTAAGGTGGAGGACTTCAGCTGTGGGGGGTCGCATCAACCGTTGTATTCCTGAGTTCTGGAGATGTGACGGCCAGATAGACGGCGAGAATGGCTCGGACGAGCAAGGCTGCTGTAAGTGTGGCCCCTCACTGGCAGCCCACATGCCAGAATGCCCATGTGGCCCAATGGGCTTCTGGCTGCTATCAGAGCTGGTTCCCCAAGCAGCCCTGCCTGGTGTGGATCAGCTGCTCTTCACTCGGCTCCACCTCCTGGGAGTGCATACCAAGCCCCCTCCCTCCCATTGAAGCCCACCTTGGCTAGAAGTAGTGATGGCACCCCTCTCAGGGTTATCAGCACACTCGGTGAGGGTGTCCTTGCCACCTGGCATATGCTTCCATCAGTGAGCCACTATGACCACCGTCAGCCATCCCAGGAGGCTAAGCACACAGTAGGTATTCACCCACCAAGATCACTCATCCAACTAACCACTAAGAGGAGGAAAGCTTCACCAAAGAAATGGACTTCTTCAAAGAAACAAGGCCAAGAGTCCTGGAGGGGAATTCACTTTGGAGCTGGGTGTCTGTCTTGGCTCTTTGATTTTATGTATTACTAGAGGCCAGTGCACGAAATTTGTGCAGGGCGGGGGGGCCTCCCTCAGCCCGGCCTGCACCCTCTCCAATCCAGGACCCCTCGGGGGATGTCCAACTGCTTCTCGAAATCTGGGACCACTGTCTCTTAACCACTCACCTGCCTGCCTGCCTGCCTGCTCTGATTGCCCCTAACTGTTCCCCTGCTGGCCTGATCACCCCTAACTGCCTCTGCCTCGCCCTGCACCTGGGACCCAGGCTTTCCTCCCTCTGGTCAGCCACAGACACCCAGGACCCGGGCCGACTTCGTCTGAGTCAGCCACAGCTGCAGGGGGACCGCGGGGTGGGTGGCTTGTCCCTCTCCCAGGCTGCAGCCCCAGCTGCTGGTGTTTGGGACCGTAGGGCAGGCGGCTTGTCCCTCTCCCGGGCTGCAGCCTGGCTGGTCCCCATTCCTCACTCACAAGCTCATTTGTGCCTGGTTGGCCCCATCCCTCTCTCCCCAGTATTGAGTGTCAGCCGTTATGGAGTGATGATGTGCTGGCATGGGGGTGTGGTGACCATTTGCATCTTAGCTCTTTATTATATAGGATTATTATTGTTTTTTCACTTGTGTAGATTTTCTTTTCAAAACCAAAATAACGGAAAAAATAACTAAGATCACATTAACTCTTCAAATTCACAAAATATAAAAGTCCTTAAGAGATTTTTAAAAAGATTTTAAAATTGATTTTGAGAGAGAGAGAGAGAGATCAATGTGAAAGAGAAGCATGGCTTGGCTGCCTCCTGCACATCCCCAACCGGGGATCGATCCTTAAACCCAGGGATGTGCGCTGACTGGAATCAAACCTGCAATCTGTCAATGCACAGGACAATGCCCAACCAACTGAGCCACACCATCCAGGGCCTTAAGAGATTAAAAAAAAATCAACAACAAAATGGCTTACTTGCATTTACCTTAGAAATACACAACTGTATATATACATAAGTAACCTTCATTAGTAGTCATCTAATGAAATGACTTCTTGGGGAATATTTTAAAATAAAATGGATAAGTGTTCAAAAAATAATAATAATAATACCCAAAGTATGGGGGCATGGAACAGACTGATGTACCTCATTGTGGGGCTGGGGGACAAGGAAAGATAAAGAACTTACTTATATGCAAAGCCCCTGGACATGGGCAATAGGGTGGTGAAGACCTGGGGGATGGGTAGAAGCTGGGAGAGGTGGGTAAGGGGAGACGGGGGAAATGGGAGACATCTGTAATACTGTCAATATTTAAAAAAAAAAAAAAAACTGAAGAAAAAAGCAAAATGGCAGTTAATAATCCATGACTCTAGATTAAGAAAAGGGGTATACAAGGATTCTTCTTCCAACTTTTCTAAATATTTAAAGCTGTTTCAAAATAGAGTTAAATATATATGTATAGAAACTAAAACAAGGAAATGGAAATGTCTGCATGGCCATAAAAGAAAAGATTCATATGTAAATAATTCCCAAACTAATATCTATAGAGAGAATCTTCAGGCCAATATTAAGGTATAGTCTTAATTGAAGAGAGATTTGAAGAAATGTAGTGACATGCTACTCTTTAGAGTTTTTGTGTTTTTGCTTTTTGGAGTTTTCTTTTTATTCACACTTTAAAAGCTTTATTTATATTAAAAACTCTTGTTTTTGCGCTAACCGGTTTGGCTCAGTGGATAGAGCGTCGGCCTGCGGACTGAAAGGTCCCAGGTTTGATTCCGGTCAAGGGCATGTACCTTAGTTGCAGGCACATCCCCAGTGGGAAGTGTGCCGGAGGCAGCTGATCGGTGTTTCTCTCTCATCTATGTTTCTAACTCTCTATCCCTCTCCCTTCCTCTCTGTAAAAAATCAATAAAATATATTTTTAAAATAAATAAATAAATAAATAAAAATAAAAACTCTTGTTTTTAAAAGCATTAACAAGAAAAAGAAAAACAGAAAAGGTATGGAGCAGAAGACATGCCCCTTAGTAGTGTTCGGTGGGAAGGTGCAATTTTTGGTTCTCTGGAATTGAGTGTTTAGTGTTTCTATAAACAGAAAAAAAAAAAAAGAAGAAGAAGACAGTTAAAGGTCCCCCAAAGCCCATGGCTGTCCTGTTACCCACACCCACCAATACAAAGAGCACCAGCAAAAGAGCAGAGGACAGGAGAAACCAAGAGTGGGCCAGGGGGGAGAACGGGGCAGTGTCCCCTGTGCAGTATGCTCTTAGGGTCAAAGAACGAAAAGGCTCCTTTTGCCAGAAAAGGAGAGGGAAGAAATGGGAAAACAGAAAAGGGGAGATAGGGATTTGAATGCATAGAGGAAGAAGGAGAGGCCAATGGGTTGTGCACTTTTCTCCTACCCCATAGCCTTTGGAGTTTTCTTTAGAATATTTCAGCATTAAAGAATTTTAGCCCGGACAGTGTTGCTCAGTGGTTGAGCATTGACCTATTAACCAGGAGGTCATGGTTCGATTCCTGGTCAGGGCAAATGCCCAGGATGCAGGCTCGATCCCCCGTGTGGGCGTACAGGAGGCAGCCAATCGATGATTCTCTCTCATTGATGATTTTATCTCCCTCTCCCTTTCTCAAATCAATAAAAATATATTTAAAATTTTTTTGAAAAAAGTAAAACTTATGAAACACCTAATAGATATAGATATTGCATTAAGAAATGGTGTAAATGACAGTATAAACAATTAAGATTTATATGATGAAGAAACATTTTCTGGGAAAAAATGTTTATTATATGTGACTCCTTTATAATGTTTGAACATGACAAAATTTATGATTCAGTTCTGAATCTAAGTATTGCTTTAAAAATATCAGTAATAATTTCAATGTGGGTCAAAGTTTCTCCAAATTAAAATTACTCTTTTAAATATCTAAAAAGCAATAATTCAAGAAATGTCAATTAGTACTGTTTGAGTGGCTCAGCTGGTTAGTGTTGTCCCAATATACCAAGGTTGCGGGTTTGATCCCCCATTAGGGTACATCCAGGAATCAACCAATGAATACAGAAATAAGTGGAACAATAAAGCATTGTTTCTCTCTCCCCCTAGCCCCCAAATCAATAAATTTAAAAAAAAGCAAGGTCATTTAATTTAGCATTCCTGGCAATAGAACATACTTCACGAGAAAAATTTTATTATAACAATACAATTAGGGACTCTACCAAAATTAAAGCAAGAAAAATTAGTTTAATGAAATACATATGTAAGTTATAAATTTATAAATTATATATGACTTTATTATGCAGACATTGCTGGCCCATCTTTAAGTTAATTTATCTTGGATATTTTATTGACTTTAAGTCACACAAGAACCATAGCTATGGTTATTGATTTCAGAGAGGAAGGGAGAGGGAGAGAGAGATAGAAACATCAATGATGTGAGAGAGAGCCATGGATCGGCTGCCTCCTGCACGCCCCACACTGGGGATGTTGCAACCCGGGCATGTGCCCTGACTGGGAATTGAACCATGATCTGATTCATAGGTCAACACTCAACCACTGAACCACGCTGGTTAGGCACTTTACATATTTTTTAAATTTTGTCATTAGAAAATGTATTTGTTAAGGTAAGAGGATAGAGCATATTTAACAGTTAGCTTTCAGATAATTCAAGTATTTTGACATATGATAGGTGAGCCATCATTTGTACTCTGATCTGGCCCAGTAAATATTAAGGGTGGCTTGTTCCACCCCTCTTTAGGTACCTATTTTGATTTGGTTTTAGTCCTTTTATTGTTCCTACTTGAAAGTATAGAGATATATTATATATAAAATGTCCATCCAGCCCTAGCTGGTTTGGCTCAGTGGATAGAGTGTCAGCCTGCGGACTAAAGAGTCCTGGATTCGATTCCAGTCAAGGGCACATGCCGGGGTTGCAGGCTTGATCCCCAGTGGGGCCTGTGCAGGGGGCAGCTGATCAATGATTTTCTCTCATCATTGATATTTCTATATCTCTCTCC